AGACTACCGTACTGTTCAAACATCCGTGCAAGTGTTTTAGGAGGGTTCATTGTTTGAGTCATCTATAAAATCAATTTATAAAACTTCAATGCATATTTGTACTGCGTAGCCCGGTGCCCCAACACTTTAGATATTTTGCGTAGATGTTAAACGCACGGTAAAACTACATCTTAAAAGCCACCATAAAGGATTTGTTTTTAGGTAGTCAAGATATAATTAAGCTAGCAGTATACCTAGGAAACTAAGCAACGATTAATATAAGTGTATATCTTTTTTTTTATAGAACAGGGGGATACCGCCGCCCATGGACATTCTCAATGCCAGAGGGCTCGCGAGTGCTTTGCCGGCCTTTTAAGAATTGGTACGCTATTTTCTTGCAGGACCTGCCTTGAAAAACGCTCAGTTGTGGAAAGGCGGACGTCGAGGTGATACGGGTGGAATTTCGTATTCTGCCTCGACTTCCGATGATGAAACTCAGCTGCAGGTATTAATCCGAACAACTAATCCCAACTCCGAATATCTCTAAAGTTACGTTCCTCAGGGATACGCTTATCGTTATAACTAAAAACAGGAAGAAGACCCTATATCAGTATTTAGCAAGCAATGGGATAAAAACAAAATAATATGACAAGGAGGTACTAACATTTGAATTTAGAACTCAGTTGTCATCTTAGCTACACGAACATCGTAACCTTTTAACGACGGAATCAAGGTGTTAAATCTGCATAACATTGAACAATATTAATTACCATACGAAAATACTGAATTTATATAAATCAAGATAATTTCTGAGAGTGCATTTCTTAATTTTTATTATATTTATTTTCTAAGACATATTGTTAGAGTCTAATAAGTGGGCAGTTTATTGCCAGACGTTGTCGTCCGTTCTACGCATATCAGTACTGGCAATAAATGGTATTTTTTGTGATGTTAATACGGCTTTTATAAGAGTAATATTATGCAATCATTATAGAAGAAAAAGAAAGATTCACCAAATCATCTGTTAATGAAGAGAGCTATCCGTCGACAGTATTGCGTTTAAACACTGTCATGGAGTTGCTCTCTTTATGAACGGGTACAGGTTCAGCGAATACAGAAGATATCGAATAGAGAAGATTCAAGAGGAAGAAATTATGTAATACCGACGATGCTACCTACCTATACAACTTTATGTAATACATTTATTAAATCTTAATTATTATTAAATATATAAAAACTAATTGTCTACAGCGATAATAAGATATTATACTCTATATATATATATATAATTGTTCTTTTTGAGATTTTAATTTGGATATTATTGACCACGCACGCTGTAAAGCACGCGAAACGTCGGATAAATTTAAAATTATGTTAAATAGTTGTAAATTTATAATAATACATAACTTCAATCCGGTCAAAATAGTGTTTTATTAAATGAATAAAAGTTATGTTAATCAAAGACAATACTCTATATACATATATTATAGGCAATAGGGTTATAATATATATTATTATAACTCTATCGACTTAATAATGGCGTAGGAAACAATTTGATCTTTATTATTTGTATCCATAGTAAAAGCGGGCTATGGTTGTATTATTATATTGATTTTAAGTCATTCCAATTGAAGAATGTTTTTTTTAATTTATTTTGTTAAACTAAAGGTAAATTAAACGTTTAGTTTAGGGACTTGTACAGTAAAATTAGTACTTGCCAGTATTAATAATCAGTTACCCAATTTTTGTTCAATTATATTATATAAATATTTCTTTGATAATTATAAATACCTACGCAAAAATGATTATGAAACAAGTGAAAATCTCGTATCATAAAATTAATTTATCATTTTATCTCGAAGACATGTGTGCACAAGAATCTTCTATAATACACAGATTACACAACATAGTAAACAAGTGTACACGTTATCACTGATAACACTAAGATGTTGATAGCTAGCAAATTGGGTAACTGATTATTAATACTGGCAAGTACTAATTTTACTGTACATGTCCCTAAACTAAACGTTTAATTTACCGTTAGTTTAACCAATTTCTAATATGTTTAAATAACTGTATTGTCAGTCAGTTCTTTAGCGAAAGAGGCCTCAACCGATTCGTGTAAAATGGAAAGAAAGAAGAACATAATAACATTAAAAAAATCAGTGGCGCTACAACCTTTTCAGGTCTGGGCCTCAAATTTCTGTCTGTTTCATGATCATTTGTTAATCTAATAGGCAAGTAGGGGATCAGCCTCCTGACATACGCCGTCGACTTTTTGGGTCTAAAGCTAGCCGGTTTCCTCGCGATGTTTTCCTTCACCGTTCGAGCGAATGTTTAATGCGTACATAGAAATAATTGGTGCACAAACGGGGACCTCAGGGAAGAGAGTCGCACGCTGAAGCCACTAGGCCAACACTGCTCATAATAACATTAAGGAAGTCGAATTAGACATAGACATGTCTATGTCTATGAATTAAGATAAGATACATACAAATTAACAAAACCAAAAGAAAGTAGGACACAGGAAATAGCAATTTAAGTAATATTATAATATTCTTTTCTGATATTTAACAAGATTTAGGTCTAGACCAGAGAAAAAGTTTAATTACGCACAAACAGGGATACATATAGCTGCGCCTCCAAGATCACAGCGGTGGGAATCACGCGTAGAACTTACTACATCTTTTTTTTCGTAGGGAAATGCATTACGCATACTCCCGCGGCGCTACTAACTTTTGATGTAGGGTTATGTGGGACTCACTACTGTGCTTACCCACTAAAACCCAACGGCACCACCACTAGACAGGACTCGGTAACACGTAGCCTTGTCCGCATCCCGCCACGCGATCAGCCGAACTAACTACATCCGCCCTAAACCTGTATCTGAACTCATTAATCACATATGACTTGTAGGTATAATTGTTTTAGGAACGCGCTTAAACTTACACACCATACAGTAATAATGGTTAAATTGAAGCATTGGGTGCAACAAGGGCGTATGTTGTAAAATAGAGTTTCGAGAAAATTGATAATGAAAGTTTCAATGTCTTATATTTTTTAAATACTAATAATTTGACTTACATTTACTTTATTATTTATTAGTCCTATTATTAAGCAAAAAGATTAAGGTATTATACCTATTTTAAAGTAATCAGAAACATCCTAAAATCAAGTTTTTTTTTATTGCGTTATCCGCCCTTGTTGCACCCAACTGGTAAAATAGGTAGGACGTTAATGTTACTATTGATTTATAGGGAAAATAAATAACAATTTGAATACCTATGTCATTATTTTAAATTAAAATGTAAGTTAAACAAGTGTATTTATTACAATCACCGTTTAAATATTCAACTTAATACTTTTTTTCTGGCTTTCGTGTGTTTACTCAGATTCATCAAAATATTCACTAGACTGAAGGGAATCTTCCGAATCAGCTGCAACTAGCCTCCTAGACGGTCCAGCCTGATTTTTCAGGCCTGTATGGAAGGTCAGCACCTGTTTCAACCACTCAGCATTTTCAGGTTTCATGAAAGGTGTCAAGGATAAAACGTCCCTAATCTTTACGTCTTTTACTCCAGGTTGTTCTACATTTGTTGGAACAACACGTGGTGATTTGTTTAAAAACCTTTTTAGGCACCTTCATTCCTCGAGCGGATGTGTATTCTTCACCCAAACTTCTCTTTAACTTTCGAACATTTATTTTCCACGAGTTTAAATTCATTACCTTCTTTTTTCCATTTTTTTTGGTGGGCTCATGTTCACTCTGGCCAGCATATGATCTAAAGTCACTTGAATCGCTTGTTTCACTCATTTTTTATATTAACTAAATTTGTATCAATGTTTTTACTGCAGACAGGTCGTTACGTGTTCGAATTTAAACGCACTTTTGTTATCTATGCAACAAGGGCGTAGCGCCACCCACGAAACTAATGATTCCCACGCCATCTAGAAGCGGCTGATCGTAACGAGTTTTTGTGATACGAAACTTGATGGCTCTGTGCATGTTTTAATGTAATAACATCAAAACGGGCTTTAGGTACCGAACGCCCTTGTTGCACCCAATGCTTCAATTGTGCTTTTGGCGGTAGCGTATGTAACAGAGAATGTTGCTGATGAATTTACAATATTGATATTGTCAACACTGCTCTCGTTATAGATTAGCAGTTAGGAAATAATTATTGTTGAAGGTTAATTTGTTAACAAATAAATAAATCGTGTGTTAGTATCGGCGAGGGTCCTTTTATTATGGTTTTCCTGAATATAATTTTGCCTAAAACTAGGACTGAAGCGTATTTAATAAAATAATTATTTATTAACTCTACAAGAGACTTTATTTTCTATCCCTTGTATTCGCTTATGTGAAGCCTGTTTCTTCTGGGTATGGTGGATTATGAGCAGCTCCACCTCAGAAGAGAGCTTGCTTTGTAAGTGTATTTATTTAGGATACTTACTAATGGCGAGACTGGGTCTACGGGTTCCAAGCAAGAACCTGAGGCGGAAGTCTTAACTTTTGGATGTACCGGATGTACCGTGCGCACATACCAACTTAGTTAGCGAAGCGCCACTCACGCCAGCAATACATATAATAAATAAAATTTCTATCGAGGTAGACCTATTTGTTTGTATACTGGCTGAATTCACAAGAGTTGCTTGCTATATTATGAGTTATAAGATCTAGGGAAATATATGTATATATATTTAATGTTTTTTAATTGTAGGATTATCGGTGTAGGTTTTATTGTGTAGTTCTATCGCAATAGTAGTAACTGATAACATCATAAAATTAAAAAGGGCGTATGCTGTGCTTTACAATAACCCATGAAAGGGCAGGGCTATCCAGCTATTACCATTAAAGTCTGCTTTATTTATTTTTAATTGCAATATAGCATATGTTTTTTTATATTCCCTGAGAAGTGGATAATAATTTCCGCAACAAGTATTAGATAGTCATTTATCATTGATTATCACTGATAACACATTGATATTTGTAATCAGTGACTAACAATTAATGAACCAAGATGGCTGAAAAAAACATTGTGTTATTCCTTTGTTTTGTGACAAATTTTCTTATTGTTCATTCTGACGTGTTATGTGAATGGGGATTTTGTACAGTAAGTACTTAAATTGTTTATTATAAAATATTAGTCATAGGTTTGAAGTACTATACTAAATAACTACTGATAAATGTCAAAAGGTTCAAATAAGATTCATTAATTTAATAATAAAAATCATCATTTATTTACTCTACAAAGATCCATTATGGTTAATAATGGACTTAAAAACGAATTATAGTATCTTGAAAACCAAAATTTTAAAAATGTGGGACAGACTACTCGTATTTATCTCTCAGAGCTGACAAACATACCAAGAAACTGCCTCGTAGTTTGCGAGTACAGTGATAGTACTGAGGATACAGTTCCTAATGCCTCACAATATGCATAATAGAGATGTCGTTCTTTTCCGACGGATCACCCAAGGCATCAGTATGAGCCTGGGAAAACATGCTGAGACACTGCAGATACGAGGCAGTCTCATCAGCATCTAAATACGTTGTTATGTTGAATGCACAAATCATGAGGTAAAGAATCCCATGAACGAATGCTGCCAGCTTTACTTCTCACTAGCGGAAAGTAACTCGAGGATGTGAAATTAATGGCATAATTCATATTATTTGCCCAAACCTTCTTTCTAAATTTAAGTTTCGTGTACCCTCTCGATACCCCAGGCATCCCATTATTCCATTTGTCCCTCCTTTCCGTAGAACGCGTTTTGGTCAAAGCTCACCGAAGTCCAGATTAGGCTTTTAGATAAACGAGCTATCCATAGTTGCTCCCCTCACACTTTAAAATCGATTATTGTTTAGTTTTTTGTAATGTTAATTTTTTTGATTAGTAATTGTTTCTTCTTTGTAATGTTTGTTTTGTTTAATAATTGTCATCTTTGCCTTTAAGTGCTTGTCACATTAAAAATTGTATTTTGTGGTTATTTTTACAATTATTTGTTAAATACTTGATGATTCAGTAAAGGATAGGATTTGTGTTTGTATCACTGTGCCGAGCGTTGGCATGCTTTTTATCAGTAAAAAAATAAAAATATTATGGTGGGTAAACTTCCTGATGGAAGAAAGCAAGGATTCAAGATCAATTGGAAAGACATTCATATACAGAAAAGGACTTGCTCATTTTTATCTGTTAATCCATGACTATATATTATGCAGCTGCCAACCATATGTCATATGTCTGACTCCCGCTAATAATGTATAAGATTTCGTCATAGTTCGCGTTGTCTGGTTTCTGAATCTGAACACAAGTTTCTAAGTTTTATAAATTTTAAATTGTGATAATTGTGCGTGATTTGGTCTGAAGTATTAAAAAACATCGATTAACTAAAATCTAGTAGCGGTATCCAAGTTTGGCTTATTAATCTTACAGCATATTTTATCTGTTTATGTATGTATACTTTCTAAATGTATATTCCTTTTGTTATTTTTAATAATTGTTATGTGTATTATATAATTTGACTTGGCTGACTTAGCAAAAATAAATAAATTTGCTGTCACGACATTTTCTTAATATGTAATGGTCTATTTAGAAAATGTCGCCTGTTTGAACAGCTTTCTGTCCGTTGGTTTAGGTGTAAGTAATATCACTATCCTTTACTGAATCATCAAGTATGTAACAAATCATTGTTTAAAATACTCTTACAGGAACATCTAAAAAAAGAGACGAATAAATGTAGAGTGACTCCACCGGACTGCGGTTATAACAATGCAACACATTCCGGGCTAACACTGCCATCTCCTACAGTTTGTAACTGCTGTGAATTTTGTCTACCTCTCTACGGTAACGATATTTTCTACGATATTTCTTGGCATACACAAAAACTTATATAATACAGAACTATGAACAGAGAACAATAACTCATATGCATAAGATTAGTAGGGAAGAGAGATTAATTGAACATATTTGTGCATAAAATCGCTATTTTAATAAAAATTACGGGAATCGAAATAGTATATAATTAAATTTAATAGTATAAAATTTACATGTCAACTTGATGTAATGTAAAATTAATTCTCGGCCATCCCAAAAAGTTTTTTTTTATTATTTTACTCGTACCACCAACCCTCATTTTGTAATAGCGATTCAGCTAGTAACAGCTAGTTTCCATATAAAATAAAATATAATAGAAATCATCAGCTTGGAAACCCAACATTGGGACACTGGCTTTAGGTACTCATTAAGCGAATCCATGTCTATAATATTCCAATTTCTATAATATAATAAGCCAATGCCAATTTATATGCAATAATTTTATCAACAATTAATATAGGAAAACAAAAGCAGATAACGTTTTAGTTTAATTAATATTTATTTATCAATTTCCAGCTCGAGGTAATGAGTGCAGCTTGGGCGGTCCTGGTGATGGTATGACCATCGGTAGATGTGGACATGGACTCACTTGCGATGAAGTAACGAGGACGTGTGTTAGAAGTAAGAGCTTATAATTGGGAAATATTTTTCAATATATTGTAAAAGCTAGACGTGACAGTTAAGGACCTTTTTTTTCTCGCATTATTCTTTTTGTATTTTAGATTTTTTTTTCTTACCTTAATGTTTTATTATATATGTTTAATGACGCATGTCAGACGCGTAACATCAGCGTGCACTCTCAGAGGTACTATATCTACTATATATACTATATATATTCGCAATTCAATAGATGCAATACCTACTTAGTTTTTAATTATCATCTCGCCCGACAGCTTTAAACGCTGTAGTGTTCGAATTCGAGCCAGAGTGAGAATGTATTTAAATACAAGAAACTCAGAGCATTCAATTTATACCTACCTACCGCTGAGGCATCTTCAAGGGCTTTTAATTTTATCCTCCTGTACCAACCCTACCAAAATAGGTAACGATTTTGTGTGCCTCTGTCCGTACTCTTTGTCGGCGAATGCGGCGCTCAAACATATCAAATGCTGTGATACACTTGTTACAAACCGCGGCGTCTTTGTCGGTAAATTATCAAATAAGTAGGTATATAATACACCAACCGACCAACAGTTTATTCGCAGAACGTCACATTTTCCCAATCAACCTTGAACCTTAATTCTTTAGCGATTAAGTTGAAAATTTGTAAAAGAAATTTGACAAATTGTAGTAGCTTGATGTGATGACGTCTGTACCATAATATTGACTGCCGTAGAAACTGTTATAGACCACAAGCCCATGAACAAAAAATACCTGTGAAATGACCCAACGTGAATTACGTTTAGAAGGCTGTTACTATATCTGAAAATAACTCTGAGCACTATGCCGTCATTTCTGAGCGGTACATGTGAGTACGTGAGTGAATGGAATTTCTCAGATACGAAGGAGGAATTTCGACTAATTATTAATGTACGGCTTTGTTATAAGTGTATAGATGATTAAAAATAAATGTCGAAAAACCTAGTGCCGTACTAAAGTGATGGTGCCGGAAGTCGGTGCAAATTTTTAATTCGACGATAGTTGCAGAAGCAATATAGGTCATTTATACGTATTAATACTGTACGGCATTTGTGTAATTCCTTTTGGACACATATACAGATACTTTACCCGTAAACGCCGTACATATTTCCAGCGGAGCGGTCGAAAGCCAAGGGTCGCAACCCTATCCCTACACCCATATACCCTAAGGTCATTGTAAAATGTACGGCAACATGTTCAAAATATTATTTAACACGGACAATAATGTTTTATAATTATGCCGTCCAAAAATTATAGTTAATATTTGTGTAAATAAATATTTATCGAAATTTCAGGATTTACCGAGCTCTTACTGCTGTAAGATCAGAGAATAATGTACGGCAACTTGTTTTTTTGCATAATGTTACTAAATATTACCGTTGTACCTTATAGCCGGTCATTATAAATGGTAACAAATAAAAATATTATGATAAAAATATATGAAATTTCCGAAATTTAGATGATTTTTCAAATAATCCTAGAGTAATATGAGGAGTAATATTTTCAAAGATTATTGTTATTTTATATGTAACAAATATAAATAAACAAAAAAAAACCAGATGCCGTACATTTTACTCCAGATTATTCTTTATAGCTGATAAAAACTTCGACGACTTTTGAGGTGTCCCTTAAGGTCATTAATAACTGTACTTATCTGAGTATACTACCATAAGGCTGTAAAGTATGTTTACAGCCTTATCATACCAGCAGAGAGAGGTAAAGGAAAAATATTTTTAACATAAATAAAAATATAATACAGGGCGTCCCAAAGTTATAGGATATGAAGGGAAAGTACCTTTAATATCGTAGATAGGGTATTTTACTGAAAGAAGACTTTATGTTATTTTTAAAAGTTAGTAATTCTGCATTCAAAGATTTTGTAAAAATTACTTGCCTCGTCTGGAAATCGAACCGGCTTAAATGTAAAATAAAACACCCCTACTTTTATGATGCCAATCGAAAGAATGGCCAAAATCTAATAACTTTTCTAAAGTAACAGACTCGTAGGGGATTTTTTTAGGCCGAATACGATAGATAATGTTTTTAATTTGATTAAAAAGATATATTCATGCAGTTCCTTTCTTTTAAAATACTATGTTACTTAAGAAAAGTTATTAGTTTTTGGCCATTCTTTCGATTGGCATCATAAAAGTAGGGGTGTTTTTTTTTACATTTAAGTCGGTTCGATTCCCAGACGAGGCAAGTTATTTTAAAAATAACATAAAGTCTTCTTTTAGTAAAATACCCTATCTACGATATTTAAGGTACTTTCCCTTCATGTCCCATAACTTTGGGACGCCTTGTATTGGTAGGCGGTGGTATAATCTGCCATTTCATAGACTAGCGGACTATCGAAAGTGTACGGCACTTATCTTTTATTGAAGATTGTCTAAAGTACTAATAACCTGTGTGAATGCCGTACAGATAAAAGTCACCGGAAAATGACTCTTTTCAGAGTGAAGTAATTTACCCCATACACCTATGTGTTCCACGAAAAATGTACGGCATCCTGGAAAATATTATCTATTTGTGAAGTACTCTCAAGATCATTTAATTTTATGTTGTTCTATATCATCATCACCTATATGCTAATCAGACATAATATGTTGCGACCCTTGGCTTTCGACCGCTCCGCTGGAAATATGTACGGCGTTTACGGGTAAAGTATCTGTATATGTGTCCAAAAGGAATTACACAAATGCCGTACAGTAATAAATGACCTATATTGCTTCTGCAACTATCGTCGAATTAAAAATTTGCACCGACTTCCGGCACCATCACTTTAGTACGGCACTAGGTTTTTCGACATTTATTTTTAATCATCTATACACTTATAACAAAGCCGTACATTAATAATTAGTCGAAATTCCTCCTTCGTATCTGAGAAATTCCATTCACTCACGTACTCACATGTACCGCTCAGAAATGACGGCATAGTGCTCAGAGTTATTTTCAGATATAGTAACAGCCTTCTAAACGTAATTCACGTTGGGTCATTTCACAGGTATTTTTTGTTCATGGGCTTGTGGTCTATTACTAGACCAGACCTACTCGACTCGCTGTTAGTTTTAAATTTTGCCAAATAGAAGAATAATATAAACTTTGAAACATAAGTAGGTAGGTACCTACATAATGCTTATATAATTTTGTTGGCTATAAATTTAAGAACATACCAACCTACGAGTACTAACGTTAGATCTGCACATTAGACATAAACAAGCATAATATATTATTATAGGGAGATACCTACAAGGTATGAACTTAGCTAGAAAGTTATTCTAGGTAAATGTTATCACATGGGAGCAGATTTGTGAGTATTAACACGCTACCTACTTAATAAATTGTTGAAATATAATAAGTACCTACTTACCTACCTAATCAATACAATACCTTTCAGGGTTCTTTCAGACGAGCGGCACGTTACCAACTGCAGATACAACTACAGCCCTTTGTTTAGTGTTATGACGATACCTACGGTTTTGATACTGGGGAACGTCTCTCAAAATCGGGATTGAAACCAAATACCTACTTAATAACGCCCAAATTGCCCAGTTTGTCTTAACTGCAAGACGCAAGAGTCTTGCAGGCTTAAGTATTGTCTTGCTCAAGTCTTGCAGGCTTCAGTCTTGGTATTGGTCTTGCTACAATAAGACCAAGACTGCAAGACCAAGACCGATTTTGGGCAACACTATGTCTAAGGGGTCCCTATTTTCTTTTGTTTGTGATTTTCTTTCATTTCATGCAGTTTAGCGATTTAGGCATCAGAAGGTGCTGATTAGAAATAGCCGAGTAAACGTGTAGTGTGAATTAATTTTTCCTCAACCTTGTTGAATTTCAGTGAAGACAAAATGTCACGACGCTCAAGATGATTATGATGCACGGTTCGCAAGGGGCGAGGTTGGAGCCTTTGAGCGAAGACCCTATTGCGATGGAAGGGGCAAATATGCAGCATTTGATTGTGTACCTACACAAACGTTAGTATTCAAATTTAATTTTAGCGAATTGAAACGGACAAAGTTAAGCAATATTTTAATAAAATACGAAATTCCACCCGTATCACATCGACGTCCGCCGTTCCACAACTTTTGAAGTGAAACTTCTTTAGGCGCATGAGGGTAAAACTTTTACGGATGAAACACAATAATAATTAGCGTCACGAAGATGTGCAGCGTTTTAGATTAGATTGAGACCGATTGAAATCTCAAATGACGAATTGTAATTTGTGTGGTTGTACTATCGAAGAAATAATTAAAAAAAAATAATAATTTGTATTAGTTTTCGACACTTAATGACAATTAAATTCATTAAATTCCTAACATAACTCCCTTTTTCCCTCCCTCTAAGTCTCGGAATTCTACAGTTTGAGACTTGTATAAATATGAACAAGACTTAAAAAGTAGTTTGCCAAAGAAGTTTCACTTCTGACATGTGTATACTTTGTACGCACGCACTTTTTTTAAGGCACTTTCAGCCGCGCACCACCACTATGTGGAACGAACTTCGCTCTGAAGTATTTCCGAACGGGTCTTTCAAGAAAAAAGCGTGCCAATTCTATAAAAGCTGGCATTTAGAGTGTCCATGGGATTGAATGTGATATATTAAAAAATAAATAACCGATGGTCTAATGTTTTTCAGATGCAATCATTAATATTATCGTTACCTACGTTTAACCGTATTTGGTATAAAAGAAAAGCAGTTCTCTTGATTTTTATACTTTATTCATTCAGTTCTTACAATAACTATGTTTCAGATGTTTCTGTCAGTCTGAAGAAGGTGAGCGTTTGTTTGGCGAAGTTGTATACACTGGAGCCCTACAAAATATGCCATGTCGTGAGTTTTGTTGATTTTATAAATAAACATAGGGTTTACAATTAGGGTTCCAGAAAAGAGCGTACTAATTCTTAAATGGCCGGCAACGACAACTTGCGAGCCTTCTGGCATTTCACTCAGTAACAAGTAACATCAGATGAGTCTGATGCCCGTTTGCACCCAGTTCCATAAAAAATCCATCATAATACTTGATCCAAACTTGAATTTATTTATTTATTTACTAACAATGCGTTGCATTAACATAATGAAAATTGAAAATAATTAAATGAGAAGGAGGGCAACTGGCGGCCTTATCGATTTCGAGCGATCTCTTTCAGGCAACAACCGTGAAAAAAAAATGTATTAAATATTTTTTAAGATAAGGTAAGCAAGAAGTGCCTAGTGAAAATACATATATTTGTCCACTTATATCTATCTACCTAAACTAATTTCAACGTATCTTGTCGAAAAAATCTTCGACTTAATATTATATTTTGATTTCGTATGCTTAGTGACAAACACATACATATATCACTTTTTCGTAATTAACATTGTTTTTAATAATTTTTAGGCTGTTCCAGATTCAATTACGAAATCATGAAGACAATAGACAAAAACACCCCATTCCCAGTGGCTGGGCCCAGGTGCACCTCGGATGGAAATTTCAATCCTATACAATGTTTAAATAACACCTGTCATTGTGTGAATAGAATAACAGGAGAGAGACTTGGTTCAGAGGAAATTAATTTGGACAATGAACCCATTACAAGACTAAGTTGTTGTAAGCATGTAGTTTCAATTACGTTATACTAAATAATTCCTTATGGTCAAAGGACTTAGGAACAAACCTAATCAGCGTCTGAAAGCATTATCTGACCGATTTAGGAAGTAGGCGATTAAGAGGTAATCTCATTGGAACCTATAAAATCCTTACTGGCCACTATAATGTTGCAGGTATTGGGAAGCTCTTTATTTTAAGTGAGAACACTTATCCGAGGGATAGTTCTTTAAAACTCAAGGGTACTCAATATGATACAGATTCCCTAAAGAAAATTCTCCTAAAGCGAGTAGTGTCTGACTGGAATAGGCTTTCGGAAAGTGTAATCTTTGAACGCTTTTCTCTTTTCGCAAATACGCGCGCATCAGCTTATTAAGCTGCTACATTAGGTAGATATATAGTAAATCGCACTTTCATAATTTTAAATTACTTTTCTTCTGCGTTAAACGTTACACACAGTTCGAAGTTCTACAACCCTTCATTGGAAGCCTCACACGTCATTTTTTTTTCGTGATTTTTTTGTAGGTCATGGTATTTCTTTTCACTGTTTGTGCAATAGGCACATAGAAATAAGAATCTATATAATCTAATACATTGTTGAGTGTTGAGTTTTTTCTGTGGAAGAGTTTCCCAACCTTTAGTCTTTCTGACATTCTTATGTATGTATTCTTATCTATACATAACATATGTTATTTTAAATATTAAAAAAAATAATTGTTCACTAAAGAAACTTAAATGCAGGAAGGCCGGCTTTAGGAAGAAATTACTATAAAATTTTTAACGAAACACAAGTAAATTTTCAAAACATAATGAAAAATTGAAATACAAATTTCAAATACTTTTATTAAATTTTTAAAATAAAATCTAATAATCGAAAATGTTACGTCTTACTAAATATCTTTAAATTTTACTTGTGATACCAAATACAGGGTATTTTATTAATATCTAACCATGACTTAAAAATTGTCACAGATGAGAAACAATTAGACCTGTTTCCTGATCTGTCAGAAGGTGACCCGCCTTATTCAACAATGTCGCCGTGTTACAAGAGCATTGAGGACAAAAAATCAATTATCGAAAATGGTTCTAAAAATGGATTTATAATGGACTATTTCAATACATTTGACGATTTGGAGTGTTTACCAGATGGCACTAGTGGAAGAATTGGGATGTTAGCAAATGGCAGGTAAACGGCTTAATAAACATGTATATTGTATAATCATTTGAATTTTCCAAATTTAATATTTTGTTAATGATAATTCAGTGGTACTACAACCCTAAATGGGTCATGGCTTGATTGTATCTGTTGATCATTATTAGTTCATAGATGAGTAGGTAATCTTGTGTCTGACACATGTCATTTTTGGATGTGACATGCCAGTTTTTTTACGATGTTGTCCTTCACCGTACAACAGATAGAAAGCCATTGCACGGCCATGGATGGAACCTATGACTTAAAAGAGTCGCACGCTGAAGTCAACTATATTCATATTAAAACAAAATATTTGTGATTTTATAGGTTAATTGAGATTGCGATTCCTAGTCGAAGACACAATACAATATATAGGTATATATTATCTAATATAGAACGGGGGCAAACGGGCAAGGCTCTGATGTTAAGTGATATTATCTAATATAGAGATTAGAGCACATATAGGAATGATTCATTGCTTGTGTTTATTTGCTCTTGTAATGGGGCGGACATTGGCCTGTTCAAGCAGAGTCCCCGCTGGCGGTTAACTAATTTCTGTACTGTTTCAGTAAAGTATGTATCAACGATCGAAACGAGCTTATTGGTGATTACATTGCCAATCCCAACACATCTGAATATAATAATATGGATTGTAGTAAGTAAATTTAAGAATCTACTCTAAAGGCTGTATAAGCTTTAAAATAATAAAAGTGACTATAATCAAATACGCAATTTGATTTTGATAATAACTCGAAATACAGATACCGGCAAACTTCTACACAAACGTCAACTGATTTACAATCACGGACGAACTCACTCCCCCCTCCTAGTGATACCTAAAAATCGCTTCTGCGCAGACAAGGCCATTTGTTCAAGATGTTTGCCGGTATCTATAACTGCGGATACTTGCATTAAAATCACACTAAATTTGCAGACGAATCGCCCAACGTATCCAAAATCGTGACTTTCGTTACTAAAACCATAGTTAAATAGCTATTCAAAAATACATATAAGTTCCCTTATAATTATATCTTTAAGTGCAAGCATTTACATAAAAATTTAAAAGTTTCTGAGCTTAATCCTAAACTTGCTAGATCGGGATAGGTTCTGAATAGTACTGCAGAATCTTATTTATAGAGTTTCGAGTAAAGAAATACTAACATAGCAACTAAGACCGATTTGTTATTAACTAAAGCATTTAATAACAAATCGGTCTTTGGTTTTCGGTTTTCTTTAACATTTGGATATATGTAATCTGAAATAGAGGAGTTATTATTATTAAAGAACTTTTTCTTTTAGTTCCGAATGCTAAAATATTTATTTCCGTTACTAGGATTGAATCAACCATACTGTATAAATGGGTAATTTTCATGAAATATCTACATAGTAATAATATTATTGATAATAATAATATTTCAAGTGGATAAATATAAAACAAAAATTATTAGTGGTTCCTGTCCAATAAATGAGATTATTAATATTAAAAAAATCCTTTACAGAATGTGCATTAACCCTCTCACTGATGAGTTCTTCTGGATCACGACCAATTTGCTGCAGAAACGGTAATTTCAGACAAATCCAATGTTATCGTGGACGTTGTCGATGTGTGGATTCCAACGGGCGGCAAATTGGCAAAGATGAACAGAATGTTCGCAATTTGAAGTGTTTCTCGGAACTTGGAAATAACTGGCAACATTGTTAGAAAAACAAATGTAAATTCGACTGAAGGACTTGGTCATTTTATGGAATAAAATTAAAAGTTTAAAAGTACCACAATAATAATAAAAGCATAAGGGCCAGATATAGATTATATAAATGTTATTTAGTTAAAACGTGATCTAAAAATAAATAATTTTTACGTTGTCTTGTATTTTTTTACAACCTATGTGGAGGAAGGAAGGTGCTTTTTTCGACGTAAAGGAAACATCATCGACCTGTTGAATTGACTAGCCAGCCCAAAAGCCCCGGTGGCTATGGTGAAGAATCAAAAATTTGTATAATTATATCATTCGCGGAGGGAATAATTCACCGTAGTGATTGTAGCTACGGATTGTACGACTATTATAGTCTCTACAAGGATATGAGTAGGCATTCAGTTCCTTTTAAGTTATTCGATGAAAAGTAGACATATAGGTGATAATTTAACAACCGAAATCTCAATTAATGTGAACTCAACGATGACGTTAGACTGTATATCTATACTTTAGATTCTGAATAATAAGGCAAGCCTAAAACGAGTTGGATACTATAATATTTCTAATTCTAATGTAAAAACAGTTTTAATATTTTAAAACACAGTAACAACAGCTACAGTTCAATATCACTGTAGCAGATGAATTTTTTTTGCAACGTATTTTTTATGTGTGACATGAGGAAAACGGGCGGGTCACTTTGAATAAAGTTATACTTAGATATATAGTTGTAATGCAGACCTTTCAGGGAATATAGGCAGGGCCAAAGTATTTGGAAGTCGCGACTTCTTTTATTTTCGTTTGTATAATATTATAGATGAGATATTTGTTAATGTTGGGATAGGTATTACACCATCAGTCACGATTTGAACATTGAATGTTTTCTTGAAACTAGACATACTTGGGGTGTTCAATAAAATGAGTATGACTATATGATGCAATTGTATTTTATTAAAGTTTTATTTTTTTCTTGGCTTTTTGCTAAAATTCCCTTTTGACAAAAAAAAATTCTTCCTCAACCTTAAAAATGATGTATTGCGGCGACTACTCCGTTATCATCTTTATATATTATTTTTAGTAATTTAAATAAAAAAACAAAGTAATTTAATTAGGTTTACAGTTCAAATTAGTCAAACTGTCATAACGGTATAGTTTTTATATATTTCTTCGATTTATGGTAAATGTCCCTACGCATATTAAACATTAAATTTTTTAAATTGTGTAAGGAATAGTTGAAGAATTGTTAATAATATGGTATGAATATATTATCTGTTTCATATCTTCGTTCGGCTTGCATTGCAATGACAATGGCATATTATTGACGGAAAACTATATCAAGTTGTCAAGTGTCAACTATCAAATGTAAAATAATTTTATTTGTAATCGCGTCGTATTTGTTTCTACTCTCGGCCACTTTCGGCATTCGTTCTTAAATACAATTTCTTTAGTAGACTTTCTAAAAATAGGGAGTTGTGCCTTTTGTAAAACAAGCAACAAATGTTCTAATATTTTTACAATGCCTTTAATTTATTCGGTACTAACACTTTATAGGTTATAGAATAATTTGCATACCTACAAGAAAATATAGATTATTGTTAAAAAGCTATAAATTTTGTCAAAACAGTGTTTATAAGTTGTCTGCTGTGTGGGAGTCTTGTATAAGAATTAACGATGGGTCTCATTATATCAAGATTTCGCGTAAGTATTTCATATATCACCGTATGGTTTGTAACGTAGCCAAAAACTATTTCTAAATTGCAATAAATTTGGCGCGAATTCAAACGTAATGCTTGACCTATTAGATATTACGATAATCCAAAACTGTTATCTGGTACCAAAATAAATTAAGCCTATCGCTTAAATTTTTATAAATTACTTATGTACTTTAAACAATTGTTGTATATGCAGTATGTAGAATCTGTCAGTGCAAGATTGAACTTTATGAATAGAATTTGTATAGTTCCAGTAGTAATTATCTTTTTCTAGTCTATATATTGATTGCTGTGTCGCGTTAAACATATTTTATATTTTCCCAGGTCTCTAAAGAATTGACAAGTTAACTTAAATTAGTAGCAGTATTTAGGTTCTATGAGATATGATTACCAGCAAATTCTGCATTCAGTAAAAAATTAAGGCCTATATATGTCTGTCTCTCAAAATCATTATTGTTACACAAATCTTCTTTTAGAATTTCTTTTTTGAGTACAAGTGTCATTGAATGACAATTCAAAACTTCCATTATTGCTCTAGTTGCTTATAATATAACAATCGGAATAGGCAGTCACTAGAGAGTACAGACATATATTTCATTTCCATGTGAAGATAATGATTATTAGTTAACTGATACGAATAAAGCCATTGTCAACTTTCAAGTTTTGGTGATGTTTTGACTTTAAAAGTAATAGCAGAAAAAGGGAACTAACAAATAACAATTTTATATTTTACATTCTTTGAAATCATGTTAATTTAATAAGAAAGAGTAGACTGATATATATACTAAATGTATGGATGTAATGGATCAGGGCTTAAAAGTTCAGTATGCTCAAGTGGAGTTATCAAATATATCTGTTATGAAGTCATCATAATTATAAAGTATTATTCACTCAATGTTTATCAATTTAACATGGTCATTGTATACAATTCAATTGCAAAGGAATCCATGAAAGTATTATTATGATAATATATTCTGAAATACATTTTCTATATGACCTTACTTTACATATTACTAAAATTGAAACAAAAAAAGTGATTATATTTGGTTTTAATATCTGTATACAGATATATACATATAAATAATGTAACCCTTTTTTTATCTATTTATAAAATATTTTTTTGTTTAATATTCATTATTATACATCTTCATGGCTTAATGGATTTATATTGAGAATCAAAAAACAATGTTTTAATAAAAAAAATTACATTTCAAGTAAAGCATTAGTAAGGCTCTATTACTTCAAATTTTTTAGCAGAACTCGGAATCAGAACCGTCGGTTAAAATGCATTGAATACATCTTATGGGGGCGCAATTTATTACAGTAGTGCATATTATTAGCTTAGTAAAAAAAAAGCTAGCATGTTCTCTTTACTGTTTCACATTATCAACGAAATAAACACGCGCATATTTCTAGGATCAGTTCATAGACGTTAGCCGCAACAAAAGCCTTCGAAAGTCGACCTCAAGAGTAACTTGAAACTTACATTATTTGAAATTATATCTCGACTTCACGCTTCGTTCGCTTTAAACTTTCATTTAAGTCTGACCCACATTTTGGTGTTAGACTGAAAGAATTTAATTATTATTGTGAAATTATTTTATTTTATTAACCTTGAATGGATTAAAAAAAGTTGTAACTTACTTAATTTAAGGCTAATAATTAATTTAAAAAAAATTATTGGATTTGAAATTATAATAATACAGCTACTTCAATTCCTTACTATGTACTACATAAATTGAAGTAGCTGTAGTAATAGTATGTAGTGTAAAATAAAATTACATATCACATAGTTTTTTTATTTCACACTTTGTCTGGGTTATTATTGAAATTATACTTCTTTTGGCGCGTTAGGGAAAAATTATGAGAGTAAATTTTACGATGCGCGCGCACACCGTCACAAAAAACCGAAACCCTGAAGTTAGCTATAGTCAACATTTTAGTTTCTTCTATTGTTAGTGTAGTTTTTGTACAAACGTAGAATAAAATTTTTGAAATGATTTTTATCTTGTTACGTGAAAGAAGTATAACATCTAACGCGTGTATATAAGTACACACACGATTGCTATAGCTTCGTGTCTTGCAGTCCATACTTTTTTTTGGTAAAGTCCTCCTGAACCTGAACTTTCAATTTGGATCTGCTTTTTGATTTTTCCATTCATTCTTTCGTTGTAAGGCGTGGGTTGCTCGTCTGTGACCTTAGTTTTTTGCCCTTATGTGGTCGTTATGTATTATGTGAGTGGGTTTGACATCCGGGGGTCACAGTTAGCGCTAATTTTGATTCTGAATCTGAGCGTAATGGTAGGGGCCCCCACATGCAAAGGGATTTACTCGAGCGTCGTAGAGACCTTTGGAATGCAAAGCTTAGAATAAAAGAAGAAAAAAATGTTTATGATAAATTCCTTTCATCGGTGGGGAACGGCTAGATAGTTAAATATTAAAAAAATTGTTATATCCCGTCAGATATTATATCTATGCTAGTATTTTTAAAATTACGTATTTAATCTGATCGTTTGCATGATGGGGTGGTTGTATTTAAGTGTTGAAAATTAAAAAAAAATTTGAGGATTTTCTAAGGAGTGTTAAGTGCACAAAAAAGCTCTCATTCACTAATCGACGATTTCATGGAGGACAGCATTTTCTTAATTTGCAAAAAAAATCGCAATTTTGAAATACTCAACGTCAGATAATATGTGGTTCATCTTATGTTCTAAACGTACTGTCTCATAATCTGACATTATCTAAGGGATTCGCCTGATCTGACAAAAAAAATAGAAAAACGGTTCACCTAAAGGGCCTCCCTGAACTTCCCGCTAATTCCTTCCTGGGCGCTTAAATTGAGAGCTCGCAGCAAAAATAACATTTCTATGCATTTGAGCTCTCCAGCTCGAAAGTCTAAAGTTTCATAGACTTTGGAATTTTCAAACCTCAATAACTTTGAATGGATCAAGCCAATTTTCACGCGGTTGGCGGCATTCGACGCAGTTTTATCATTCTCAAAGTGATTTTGCAATTTTAATTGATCGAACCACAAATTTCGGAGTAATCTCGAAAAACAGTTTTTCGGGTTTCTTTCGTGTACGATATTCTCGAACGAATCAACCGCTTTTGACCAGCTTGGTGGCGATCGACGTGGTTTTTCAAGCTCAAAAGGCGGATTAGTTTGAAGTTGTCATAAAGAAAACTTTAAAAAAATATTTCTTATTTTTAAGATTTTTCAAAATTTCTCAAAATCTATCGGTCCGATCGGTTCAAATTCACAGGAAATGTAATTTTGAGGGAAATATTTAGAACGCCGTTTAGTAGATTCCGATCGGTTTAAGGAAATGTAGGCATCACGCAGCTGAACGCATTTAACTTTATCGACATTTTTGTTATTTCGGCTTCGGAAATGTCAGATTATATATTTTTCATTATTCTTGAATTATTTCCTTCAAAATAAAAAAAATTAGCTAGCTCGAGAATGTCGAGATGACGTTTTTTTTTACAACTTTGTTGCCCTCCTTTTTTCCGTCACTCTCAAATTGTCAGATTAGTGGAATATAACTTTTAGGATGTAATTAACTCACCACCTAATCTGACGCTCGGGAATTTCTGATGGTCAATTTTTTTTACTAAACTGATCCTGTCTCCTTCACGTGCGGCCTTATAATGGGCCTCATATTTTGTGGAGGTACTTAACCGGGTACAAGGTATCCCCCTATATATTAATCTCCGCGCTTTAGTAAATCCCAAATCCCTCTTGGGCTCCCCTACCATAAAGATGAAGGTTTATAACAATAATTGAAATTTTAAAAAAACAAGCTCTTAACATCAATTATCTATCATAATAACATTTAATTAATATTTCCATTGTACTGTTTCGTAAGTGCGCCGATTAATTATTTGTATTATAGTAAAATGTTCATGTGTTATGTTCTCGTCCTTTTGAAGAATTCATATTTAGGGATTTTTTGTATTAAAAATCATAATACTCAAAATAAATATTAGATTCAGGAATGCATTATTTACAGCATATATATATTTTTCATTATCACTTTCCAGCGCAAGAAAACGACAAAAGACATCTTAGAAGATCTAGAAACGAAAATCAAAAGAATAGAAAAAGATGGCGAATACAAAGAGCAAACACATAAACGAGTTATTGGGCTGATAATGGTTAATTCAGTTGGACTGTATGTGCTGTTTGCGTTGCTCTACTACTTCATATATGTAGGCAAGAGTCAGTACTGGGTACATTCGCTGATGTATGCCTCTCCGTTACTACTGCTTCCAGTTTTGTAAGTGATTTCGAGTTTTCCATAGAACAGTAGCTTGTTTCGTTTGATTGTGATTGGTCAATGGACGTCTCTACTCCTATAACTGACTTGTGATTAAGGGAGCGTTCAAGTATTACGTAACGAATTTTGCGGGGGGGTCGTTTTGTAAAACGTTACGATGCGGGGCGGGGATTGAGTTACGCGTTATTGTTAATATTTTTTTCGACTTTCCAGTACTTTACACCACATAATGGCAACTTTTAGGTATAAGAGTCACTAGGTGGCCACGAAACGTTTTACTTTTGGGTACAGAAAAAAGTTTCGGCGCGTCACATGGTCAATAATCTTCAAAAATTGCGTGACGCAATACTGGAATGCTCCCTAATTCAAATGAAACTTATTACATGAAATTTTGATCGCGTAGTGTTCGGTTAAAATTATTCTATGTTCTTAACAAAGCTTTTTTTTTTTTTAAAGACAATTCACATCAATTGACCTAGTCCCATGCTAAGTGGTGAAGCTTGTGTTATGGGTACTACACAATATACATACATATTATAGATAGATATATATAATACATATTTAAACACCCAAACCTAAGAACAACACCAAATGCTCATCACATCGATTGCCTCACGGAAACGGACCCATGGATTCGCAGTCAGGGGTACTAACCACTAGACCAATGAGTCGTCATAGTAAAGCTATTTATACAATTAAATCAGTTCAACAATTTTCTTAATTTTTTGTCTGTTATCTGTATCTAAAGTATTATCAACCGTAGTTCTCGGTTTTCGTTCATGTTCCATGAATTTTAAGAGCATCCATATACCTAGCAAGTCTCTGTACGTCAAAATGTTAAATTGAAAGTGCAGTTCTGAATATCCTTGAAGTGTATTTTTGACCTTAGACTAAACAAGTAGTGATGTCATTGGTTTATCATCGAATAGATGGCTATGATTCAGATTGATTTAACAATTGTAAACTTGTTGTGTCTAATTAAAACGGGAAAATTTATAAGAAAATATTTTTGTCTTTCCCTAAAGTCTAGAGTTGACGTGGACTTCATTACACATCATGTAATATCTCATATGTTTCGTTTCCCTGCGTAAATAATTGCATTAATATTATAGAAACATTATAGCATTTCAAGGACCTAAAAAGGCAAAATTAATACTGATAGAATACATTCCTGCTGCTGATAAATCGCATGCTTTACATTGCTGTAAAGCATGCAAAACGTCGGATAAATTTAAAATTATGTTAAATATCTAATTGTAAATTTATAATAATACATAACTTTAATCCGGTTAAAAAGTTTTTCTTTAAATGTGTAAAGGTTATGTCATTCAAAGACAATACTAGAATACATTCCTTTATGTTTCAAAAGGCCGGTAACGCACTCGCGAGCCCTCTGGCATTGAGAGTGTCCATGGGCGGCGGAATCACTTAACATCAGGTGAGCCTTCTGCCCGTTAGCCCCCTGTTCTATAAAACAAAAAAGCCATTGGATGTCGTCAGAGACATTGGATTATGTACTTTTTCATTTCGTCGATTTTCAATTTGGTGGCAAATTGTATTTAATTATTTCATTGATCAATAACAAAATTGTTTAGCGATGCTATATTTGCTATTTATAGTACGTTGTAACATTATCCTGCGATTTATGAAACCGTATACCTTGAAGCCAGTCATGTGTTTATGTAAAGTACTTGACCTGTCTTCGTCTGTTTCCACGACTTTGACCGGCCTCATCTTAAATGGAGTGAACAGGCTCGGAATTCCTTTATTGTTAATTATTTAATTCCAGAGAAAGGGTGAAGATTATTATATATTGAGAGATGACAAAATGTTAGTGTAATATAGATATTTTACACTAACATTTTGTCAGTCCCCCCAGCCTTTTTTTTTCTTGGGGGGTCTTTTTTTTCCCCCCGGGGGGGGGGCCCCCCCTTTTTTTTTTTTTTTTTTCCCCCCCCCTTTTTTTTTTTTTTTTTTTTTTTTTTTTTTTTTTTTTTTTTTTTCTTTTGTCATCTCTATATATATAAAATTCTCGTGTCACAATGTTCGTTCCCATACTCCTCCGAAACGGATCGACCGGTTCTTATGAAATTTCTATTCATATTCAGTAAGTCTGAGAATCGGCTACTATCTATCTTTCAAACCCCTAAATGTTAAGGCTGGTCCACCCCTAAATTTTTATTTTTTAGATAACATTTTTGTTTATATTTTTTTTGATACAGCATACGAAAATACACACAACTTTAAATTTTCACCCTTCTACGATAAACCCCTATTTTTTAACTATAGATATTTTTATTGAAGTAAAAAAATGTTTCCTAGAAATAATATACATGGCAAAACGACGTTTGCTGGTTCAGCTAGTATTATATAAAATGTTAGTTAGTTAGTGAGTCTTAAAACAGTAACATTTGAACAATGACAATTATATAAGCCAGTTCATTGCGGCTTTACAAAAAATACTTGTAATATTAAGAATGTATAGAACTAAATTGTACTTATTCCTCAAACTTCAGGGTGATATTCCTTCGCGCAGCAATATCAGCGTACTACAACTGGAGTCTGAATAAGAATAGAGTGAAGTTGTCCAAGATGAGAGAAGAAAAAAAGAAGATTTTAGAGGAAGTCATGGATACCGAGACTTATAAGGTATTGAATACTATTTTACTTCTAAAGTATATATAGATAGATTTAACAGCGATTTTTACACAATAATAATGAGTAGGTGTCTCCCGCTGTTGTTTTGAGGAAAATACCTACTACTCGGTTGTACTTATTTATTTATTATATTACACAATTATTCAATAATAATATTAATAACTTGAAAAGTAAGGTGGAACAGCCTTGTCGCTACGAAGCGATCTTTTTCAAGCACCAGTAAACAAAAAAACAATTGTGAAGGAAGTGCAAGAGTGCGAAACTTTTTTAATACAAAATAACCCTTCCGCAATTAATGATGGTTCCAACAGTATTTCTTTAACTAGTGTAAATATTGTCAGTAAATTTAGAAATTTGAACTATTTAGGGCAATTTTTTTATTCCATATTATTTTCCAGTCAGACAAATTCTAATTATATTAAGAATAACTGGTAATTTCTTTTATAACAAACATTTAATAATGACATTCTGCGTGTGTTTGACGTATTTCTATTGTCTTTGTTTTGTTGTCTTTTTGTTTGATTCATTGAAGTTAAATTTTTTAAAACACCAGAGATATTTACGACTTTTAGATAATATTAAACAAGAAAGTAGGTATAAACTCAGAAGTCTCCGTACAGCCTTGCTTTCCATGAGCCTCCCCAAGCGTTCTCCAAAAAGATGTGCCTTGCTCATGCCAGCTCAGTTCTTATCATTTTCTTACGATCATTTTCTACTCTTGACTATGAGATATAGTGTCCGGAAAATAAGTTGGTTGCTATATTATGCATTTATTTTTAGGTTTTTCCCTTTAAAAGTAAAAAATACTTTCTACCACCGAAAATATTAATTTTAATTTTTGACGACTCATTGGTCTACTGGTTAGTACCCCTGCGAATCCATGGGTCCCGGGTTCGATCCCCGGCTGAAACGAACATCGATGTGATGAGCATTTGGTGTTGTGCTTAGGTCTTGGGTGTTTAAATATGTATTTATATGTCTATCTATCTATAATATGTATGTATATCCGTTGCCTAGTACCCATAACACAAGCTTCACCAGCTTAGCATGGGACTAGGTCAATTGGGGTGAATTGTTTTTAAAAAAAATTTTTTTATCAAATATAATTATTTGTTACATATATTTCAGGTCGCGAAAGAGATCCTAGATAAGTATGGTACACCTGATGAACACTCAAAGGCCTTGAAGCCATTCACACCGGCAATAAATGCACCCAGTCTTCCTTGTATGTAAAGCAAAAATATATTTTAAAATTATGAGGCAAACTTGTATTAATTGTCATCTCATTAAAACGTTATTTCTTAAAAAAAGATATTTCTTCCATAGATAGTTTATAATTTGATTTAAGTGCTATTTGTATATTATTATTGTTATTAAATGATTATATCTATATTGAATTGTTGTTGCTCTCATCCCTGAGGTCGTAGGTTCGAATCCCGGCGTCCGGAATCCCGTCCGTACAATTGACATTCTATGCACATTTTTATCACTCTCATACGGTGAAAATATCGTGTGGAAACCAGCATGCATTTAACCCAAAAATTCGACACCGTGTTAGGTATAAGGCTGATCAACCTACTTGCCTGTTAGATAGAACAAATTATCACGAAACAGATACATCAGAGACCCAGACTTTAGAAGATTGTAGCGTCTCTAGGTTTTTTAAAGTCATAAATGTTAGATGCATTTATTTTAAAAAAAAACAGTGGCGCTACAACCTCTTTAGATCTTGGCCTCCGATTTCTGAATCTGTTTTATGATCATTTTTTTAAATCTAATAGGCTATTAGGTGATCAGCCTCCAGTGCCTGACACACGGCTTTTTGGGTATAAAACATGTCAGTATATCACGATGTTTTCCTTTACCTTTCGAGCAAATGTTAAATTAGGTCCATTGGTGCACAGCCGGGGATCGAACCTACGACCTCAGGTATGACAGTCGCACTCTGAAGCCACTAGGCCAACACTGCTCAATTACTATTTATGCTTTTAATTTCGCCGGGAATCGAACACAAGACCTGTGCCCTAGTTAAGAAGTCTCATGGTCCGTAAAGTGCATTGACAAATAACATGAAAAATAAAAGTCTATTTATAATTTCAGCGACCCCTATACAACAGAAGCAAAGGCAGTTAGCGATGCTGACGTCGACGCCAAGGAACATGCACATGGTAGCAGCCACGCCGGGTGCCATTCTTAACGGACCTCGGCTAAGGGTATGACTCTCTCTCTCTCTTCAGTCTGAGCGTCGTGGTCAGCAAGGAAACATCTGACTGATATCATATAAACTATATACCTAGTTTAGCCATAAGTTCTGTTATAAATGAAAATGCATTTGTTTTTTAATGGAGTAATGTAATAGTATTAAAATTTATACCTACATATTTATTAGTCTCAGCAAAAAATAACAAAAAATTCTATTCGAAATGGCCATCTTGGGCCTTTAATCTATTTGGCCACGAAATTATGGATTTACACACTGTTTTCAAGGGAAATTTCGCCACAGCCTGCTGACTATAGAGTCTAAAGGGGTTTGGGCTAGATGAGGGCCAGTCTTCAGCTCTTATAAAGTCCGGAACGTTGGTTTTTAAAATAATATACGTGTTCCAAATTCAAAATATTAAAAAAGTTGAAAAAAATGTATTTTCATTTGTAAAAACACTTATGACCAGACTAGTTATGCCCCCCCCCCCCTCCCCCCCCGCCCCCCTTTCCCCCCCCCCCCCCCCCCCCCCCCCCCCCCCCTCCCCCCCTCCTTTTTTTTTTTTTCTGGGTCGCTTTTTTTGGTTAAACTTTTCCCCCCCTTCTTTTTCTATTGTTTTCCTTTCTCCCGCCTCCTAACCCAACAAAACAAAAAAAAGCTTTCCCCCCCCTCCCCCCTCTTTCCCCTTCTTTTCCTGCTTGCCCCCCCCCCCCTCCCTTTCTTCCGCCCCCGGGGGGCGAGCGTGGGTTTTGGGGGGGGGGGGGGGGGAGAGGAGGTTTTGGGTTTTTTTATCTTGGGGCGGGGGGGGGGGGGGGGCCCCGGCCCCCCCCGGGGAAAAAACCCCCCCCCCGGGGCGGGGGGGGGGGGGGGGGCCGGGGGGGGGGGGGGGGGGGCGGGGCCCCAACGAGAAAAGAAAAACCCCCCCCCCCCCCCCCCCCCCCCCCCCTTTAAAAGGGGCGGGGGTTTGTTTTTTTGGGGGGGGGGGGGGGGGGGCCCGCCAAAAAAAGCCCCCCCCCCCCCCCGGGGGGGCCCCCCCCGCCGGGGGGGGGGTTGGGGGGGGGGGGGGGGGGGGGGGGGGGGGGGGGGGGGGGGGGGTTTTTTTCCCTTTTTTTTTCGGGCCCCGGGGGGGGGGGGGGGGGGGGGGGGGGGGGGGGGCCGCGGCCCCCCCCCCGGGGGCCCCCGGTTTTTTTCCCCCCGGGGGGGGGGGGGTTTTTGTCCCCTGGCCCGGGGGGGGGGTTTCCCCCCCCCCCGCCCCCCCAAAAAAAAAAAAAAAAACCTATTAAAATAGGGGGGGGGGCGGGGGGGGGGGGGGGGGCTTTCCCCCTGGGGGGGTGTTTGTTGCCCTGGGCGTTCCCCTTCTTCCTCCCCCCCTCCCTCCCCCCCCCCTCCCCCCCCCCCCCCCCCCCCCCCCCTTTCCCCCCCCCCCCCCTCCCCCCCCCCCCCTTTTTTCTTTTTTCTTTTTTTTTTTTTCTTCCTCTTTTTTTTCTTCCTCCTTTTTTTTTCCCTTTCCCTTTTTTTCTTTCCCCCCTTTTTTTTTTTTTTTCTTTTTTCCTTTTCCTTTTATTTTTTTAATAAAAAAACAAAAAACAAAACGGGGGGGGGGGGGGGGGGGGTTTTCTTTTTGGCGGCCTCCCCCCTTCCCCCCCCCCCCCCCCCCCCCCCCCCCCCCCCCCCCCCCCCCCCCCTTCCCCCCTTTTTCTTTTTTTTTGTTTTTTTTTTTTTTTTTTTCGGGTTTTTTTTTTTTTTTTTTCTCCTTTTCTTTTCCGCCCTGGGTTTTTTCTCCCCCTTGGTTTTTTTTTTTTCCTGGGTTTTTTTTTTTTTTTTTTTTTTTTTTTTTTTTTGGGTTTTTTTTTTTTTTTTTTTTTTTTTTTTTTTTTTTTTTTGGGGGTTTTTTTGGGGGGTTTTTTTGGGGCTTTTCCCCCCCCCCCCCCCCCCCCTCCTTTTTCCTCTCTCGCCCGTCTTTTTTTTTCTTTTTTTGTCCCCTTTTTTTTTTTGTTTTTTTTTTTTTTTTTTTTTTTTCCCCCCTTTTTTCCCCCCCTCCCCCCCCCCCCCCCTCCCCCCTCTCCTTTTCCTTTTTTTTTTCCCTTTTTTTTTTTTCCTTTTCCCCTTCCTCCCCCCCCCCCCTTTCCCCCTTCCCCTCCCCCCCCCCCCGGCCCCCTCCCCCCCCCCCCCCCCCGCTCTTTGTTTTTTTTTTTTTTTTTTTTGGTTTTTTTTTTTTTTTTTATTTTCCCCCCCCCCCCCCCCCCCCCCTACCCCCCCCCCCCCCCCCCCCCCTTGCCTTTTTTTTTTCTCCCCCCTCCCCCCCCTTTTTCCCCTTTTTTTTTTTTTTCCCCCCCCCCCCCCCCCCCCCCCCTGGGTGTGGCCCGGCCCCCCCCCTTCCCCTTTTTCCCCTCCCCCCCTTTCCCCCCCTCTTTTCCCCCTTTTTTTCTTTTTTTCCCCCTTTGGCCCCCCGTTCCCGGGGGGCCCCCGGGCGGTAAAAAAACCCCCCCCCCCGCCCCCCCCCCCCCCCCCCCCCCCCCCCCCCCCCCCCCCCCCCCCCCTTTCCCCCCCCCCCCCCCTCCCTTTTTCCCCCTCCCCCCCTTTTTTCCTTTCTTCCCCCCCGGGTTTTTTTTTTTTTTTTTTTTTTTTTTTTTTTTTTTTTTTTTTTTCTTTTTTCCCCCCTTTTTTTTTTTTTTTTTTTCCTTTTTTTTTTTTTTTTTTTTTTTTTTTTTTTTTTTTTTTTTTTTTTTTTTTTTTTTTTTTTTTTTTTTTTTTTTTTCCCCCCCCCTTTTCCCCCTTCCCCCCCCCCCCCCCTTTTTTCCCCTTTTTTTTTTTTTTCCCCCTTTTTTTCTCTTTTTTTTTTTCCCCCCCCTTCTTTTTTTTTTTTTCCCCTTTCCTTTTTCTTTTTTTTTTCCCCCTTTCCCCCTTTTTTTTCCCCTTTCTCCCCCCGGTTGGGGGTGGGGGGGGGTTTCTTTTTTTCCCGGGGGGGGGTGTTTTTTGGGGGGTTTTTTTTTTTTCCTTGGGTTTTCTTTTTTTTTCCCACCCCTTTTTTTTTTTATATTTTTTTTTTTTTGTAAAACCCCGTTTCCCCCCCCCCCGTGGTTTATTTTTCCTTAACTCCGGCGGGCTTTCCCCCCCCCCCCCCCCCCCCCTTTTTTTTTTTTATTTTTTTAATACTTTTTTTTTTCCCATATTAAACTCCATTTGCTGACCATATTATGTGTAAAGTTTGCGCTTGCTTAGCATAAATGACGCAGTTTGCTGAAGAAGTTGTTATTTTATTAATTTTGTCATATAATAGATAGCGAATGATATTTTTAGGTTAACGCACATAAATATGAGGTTGAAAAACGTTATCTGCTATTAAATACAAAATATTAACTTTAGTAAATTGCGCCAACTATGCTTAGCGTTTGCAAACTTGACACATCAGAATTTACAATCAATTAGCAGTAAAAACCCATGGTTATGTGAAAAAAAGTTGTTCAGCAAATGTTTTTATATTTGCAGTCGGATCAGCTGCCACGCCCATTACCGGACAGTAATAAGTCGGCGTTGGACAAAGTTGTGGACTATTTGCTCAAAGACGGACCGAACTATAGGATGGCACTCGTTTGCACTGAGTGTTTATCGCATAATGGTGAGTAATCGTTTTTTTTCATTCCTTTTAAATCAACCAAAAAATAAGTCTTATGTTTAATCGATATCCAACTAAAAGACAGACAATTCTGCCTTAATTCTTGTGCCTGTACCATGTAACCAGAGACAATAAGTTTTCAGGAATCGAATAAATTCATTTTCAAGTTACTAAGTCATGGGCATTGACAGATTTTAGCCAAGTGAAATTTTGTTTCTTAAATTTTAAGGATCGGTTTGTATGAGATCAAAAATTTTCTTGTATTAGCAGCTTTACATTAACTAATGTTATATCAAGAATGTCATACTGATATTAGAACTACTTTTTAATTAATTGTAATTCTGCCCCACGAATTAATTATGATATTAAATACTTCTTTAACGAATATAAACGCGATTGTTTACATGATTTGAGTGATTTTTACTGTCGTCAGGCATCCTAAAATTCAGAGTAAGTGTTTAGCGTTGAGATCAGGAATAGTATTTTATTTGACATACCGAAGTCTACCGCTAAGTCTCATCTAAGAGACTGACTTTTGACTATTATAAGTAGCATTTTATCCTAAATTATGTATATATTTATGAGTTAGTATAAGATTCTTTTTAATATAAAGATCAGCCGAACTTGCACCCTATTTGTTTCACTATTAGGAATTTCGTGGTATGAGTTGAATTTTAATCGTTTCTTGTATACTGCAGATAACAATATTTTTTGCATCATAATTTAGATTCATAATTATATTTAGAGTAGTCTCTTCCATTTTCTCCCAACATTGTCACTGTCTTAAATATAAATAGTACACGTTTAATAACCTGAGGCTTTTGAAGTCGGTAAAAAATTGTTATTAAATTTCAGGAATGGCAATGATCGAGGAATTTGACTACGTGTCATACAAATGCGCGTACTGTGGTCGGCTTAATCCAGCAAGGAAGCAGCGCCCATCCGCGCCCGCCCTGTGTTCGCCGCCCGCCCTTACTTTTAATAATGGTACACTTGGTACGTTTTTTTATACAAAATTTTTGGCTGAACATAATAGATACTTATAATATTAATTTAATGATAGATAAAAGATACTTATTATATTTATTGCTCAGATAAGATAACCAATATATAACCCTGGCTCCTGATGTAGTGATAAATATATTTCAGGAGCCTCTGATTTACCGTATAGTGTAGGAAAATAAAGAATAAATTACATACAAAATTATATATTTTATTTTTTAAATTTCTATTAACAAATACATCGTGTTACTCATACAATACGGGAAGCCCTAAAAAGAAAAGAGTATTGTTCAGCAGTATTTCTCGATATACAGCAGGCTTTTGATCGCGTATGGCATAAGGGCCTCCTGTGTTAGCTAAAGTCAAGCTAAAGCCAAATACTGCCTACCTTCTCCTGAAGTCTTATTTGCAAAACCGTATGTTCCGGGTCAAATGTGAGGATTATCTATTATCAATCTGCCAAATAGAAGCAGGAGTGCCTCAGGGCTCAGTGCTGGGTCCATCCCTTTATACAATCTTTACAGCCGACATGCCAGTTACGGATGATGTTGTCATTGCAACCTATGCAGACGACACTGCAATCCTTTCCTGCAATAAAAAACCCAACGAAGCATCCGAAAAACTACAGAAATGCCTGGACAAAATAGGATTATGGTTAAAGAAGTGGAGGATACGGGCAAGCCCAGCGAAATAAGTTCATGTCACGTTCACACTACGAAGAGAAGAGTGCTCACCGGTGACTCTGGAGGGAGCTATTTTGGCAAAACGGACTACAGAAAAATATTTGGGCATGCACCTGGACAAACGCTTGACTTGGCAAGACCATATAAAAGCCAAGAAGGAGCATGCTATTGGTAGGCCTCGTAGCATGAACTGGCTATTAGGTAGAAATGCCGCACTTAGTTTGGACATTAAACTTCTCATCTACAAAACCATAATAAAACCAATATGGTTCTATGGGATGCAGCTCTGGGGGTCAGCAAGCCGCTCCAATATCGAAATCCTGCAGCGGCTACAAAACAAAACACTGCGAAATATGAGCGGTGCGCCTTGGTTAACACAAAATACTGAAGAAATATTTGGGAATTGCCACTGTCGAGGAAAACATTAACAGATCAACCGTCCGATACAAAATGAGACTTCAGCAACACGTCAACCTCCTAGCTTTTGGCCTCTTGGAAACGACGGACAGTGTGTATCGGCTGAAAAGGGCAAAACTTGCCGCAGTCTGACAGTTTTCGAAATACGGAGGGAATAAAAAAATTATTGGATTTGCGTTCCCTAATTGTCATTATTTCTTATAAAATCTGATAAAAGCCATGAGGCTGATTGCTGATGGATTTAAAAGGATAAAAAAAAATCTATTAAAAAAATGCTAGTCTAGATATATATATATACTATATTTATATCATACATATATATATATATATATATATATATATATATATATATATATATATATATATATGTGTCGTCCTCTAAAAATATTTCGTCAGTAAATTTTAAATAATAATATTAGATGTTTGTTAATATTTCAGGTGGTGGTGATGACTCTTCCCTTGCATCTTCTGGTACTGAGAGTGAAGAGGAAAGAGAAACCGATAAACGCACTGATACCGGTAAGGTTTTACTATTTGGTCTAATGAGCTATTGTTGATTCCTAATTATTGTTATAATCTTCGAAAAAAAAAACAAATAAGAAAACACAGATTATATAGTTCCGCGATAGTGTAAATTGTCAAAAAATATAAATTGAGACGTATACCAAATTTTGAAAATACGTCTAATATATTTTTCACGTAAAAATAAAAAACCACCATAAACTGAAACTTAAATGTGGCTTCACTCATGGCACAATATTATTATGTTCGTATGAAATATAAGAAACTAAATATTTTCCGATACCAGTTAAGTTTGAATCCGTAGTTCCTTAGATCATTCTGGAGTTCAGACTTTCATTCCTGCTAAATATGTCATTGATGCTTCGCTCATATAGTCTAAACTGCATACCTATGTAACTCGAATATATTGGTGAATTTAAATCGGTTCAGTAGTTTAGGGTCTAACATTAAATTATAGATTTTACAGGGAACGCGCTAAAGTAAGATTAAAATCGGTATTTAGGCCGGCAACACCACGAGCCCTCTAGCATTGAGTGTCCATGGGCGGCGGTATCACTTAGTATGAAATAAGATTCCTGCCCGTTTGCCCCCTGTTCTATAAAAAAATCCCAATAGCGCTACAACCTTGATGATCTGGGCTTTAGATATCTGTTTCATGGTCTTTTTTTTTCTATTTAGCAAGTAGGTAATCAGCGTTCTGTGCTTGACACGCCGTCGACTTGTTGGGTCTAAGGGAGCGTTCAAGTATTACGTCACGCAATTTTTAGATATTATTTACAACCCCCCCCATGTAACGCGCCGTAACGTTTAAAGTTACCATTATGTCGTGTAAAGTACCGGAAAGTCGAAAATAATATTGGGAAACCCCTATTTTAACGTAATTGAATCCCTGCAGGGCCTCGGTTTTCTTCACCATATGTGAGTGTAACGTTTACAGAAGAGTCAATTTTTATTTAACAAAAACTAAAATATCCTATTTCGTTTATCAACAGAAGAAACAGATCATCCACCCTCACCGGTTGAGGGGGAGCCGAAATCTGAAGAAGAGAAGAAACAAGACTGATTGTTCATCGCCAATTCGATAAAACGACTCGATATTTAGCATTTCGCTTGCGAAATATTTGAAAATATTCTAGAACATCGACATGTAAATATTTTTTTTGAAAAATTGAAGCTTTTCTTTTAAAGTATCTTAAAGAAAATCAATATATTATGCATAATGATTCGAGAGAATTTTAAATTTGTACAACACTTGCAATATTAATCATAATTGTGTCTGGTAACAGCTTGAGAGCTGTTTTGGCACGTCGGAATTTAAATTCAAAGGCAATATTCAATTAATCTAAAATTTACAAATTGTCGTAAAAAATATAAGCTAAATGCTTTAATTAAATCACTTTTTCATAGAACATTCGAAATTAAATTGCGGGTTTATTTTGCGTAGAGTAAAATTATTTTTACTTTAAAAATTTGAAGAGTATATCATCGTGTCTGTAATTGTTCTATGAAAAAATGATATGGGGTTTGAATTATTTGTTTGTTATTGGGGTAAATAGTCTAATTGGTCGAATTATTTAATTTATTCATTGTTTTACGAAGTGGTAAACATGTGCCTTTCTATTTAAGGGGTAAAATTTTGGTTCTTACACGAAAAGAGATATTCCATATAGCTGTCTCTTTCACATAGTATTCTGTAGTAAGAGACAGTAAATTTATCAAAGAAAAGATTGTTTCTGGTAGATGCGATCAGCTTTCGCAATAAATGACGTCACGTGATAAACATTAATCATTTATCTACCTAAAATAAAGGTAAAGAATTTTTTTGTAGGTTCATTTGGAACATTATTTAAAACATCATACATTTATTTGTGTACTTATGTGTGTTATTTTGTCAACTGTTAAAAAATTAAATTTATATACTTATGCTAAATATTTTACCCCTTAAATATGCTAAACAGGTTTTTAAAAACTCGGAGATATAGTACACATAGATCATCTTTATTGGTGTATTTTTCAAAGTCGCTAGAATGGGTGTAGATTTTTTGTCGCAGCATATAACAAAGAAGATAACATACTTTACAATGATGATGCGTTTAATAATACTTAAAGAAAAGCATTACAAATCATGAAAATAATGATGGTCCTCGGATCCCGTTTATTGAATATTCTATCCATATTTCATCTGGGGCTTGCGGCGTGAACCACTACCAAAGGAATTTGTAGGAGAACTCACGCTTAGTCACGTGTATATTATATATATGTAATAAATTCTATTCAAAGACTCAATTCCCTGCAATTAGGGGTCTAAAACAGACGTAGATCTGAGGGATCAAAGAAAATTTATCATACAAGAAAAAACTTATAAAACAATAATGGTATAAAATATACACAGCCCACTAAAATTAATGTGTACTTCGCAATACAGCTGTCTCTTTCGCTTTGTATGTTAAAATAAGAAACGGATGATTCTGTTTTATATCTCCCAGTTTTTAATTGACCTATACAAGTGTTCTTAATGCAAAGAACATGATCGCGAGCATTTTGTAATCGCATAAAATGTCATTAGATTTAATTATTTATTGTTATGTTTATTTAATTTTAAGGTCTTCTGAATCTTCCTAGTTATAGAGTTAGAGAATTGTCAAAGGTTGAAAATGTCATGATAAATAGTTTTTGTTATAAAGCGTGAAGGTTATATTAAAGCAAATATTAATATCTGAATAACGAGGTCCATGGGACAGCTCGCACTTCCGACATCTGCGCATCTAAAATGATTCTACCCAAATTATTTGCCGGGAACGTTTCTAAATTGATTTTAAAAATACAGAAAAGGTTTTATTGTGTAAATGATGAATTTGATTGGTCGACACAGATTAATAAAAAACCTTTAAGTTTTACTGTCTATGGTAACCATATATGATATGATGGCGCCTCTCGATTATTTAGTCACCGGCATATATCTGATGACAGTCATGCGAGCTGTATTTCCGTTTGACTTATCACAAACAAACGAAACGCGCCGTCACACCGTCTTTTGTTTTAAATTTTTATCAGTCTATTTTGTTCTAATGATTTCAACCTTCCACAATTTCTAGGGCTTACTACTTAATCATCCCAATATTAACGTCACGATTGCTTGTAAAAATAAGAGAAATATATATTGGCGAATCATTATTATGGATGGTCGTAATTTTTACCTCTCATTAGAAAAAGCTCCAACCGCTGTTTTACGCTAGTTTTTAAAACAATTTACGAATTACATTTTCAATATACGGCATGATTGCTTAAAACCCAGTGACCATTTGATATGGAATGGGCATGCTATATAGGCAAATAAAAATCTATAATCTGCAACTTAAATCGTCAAATAAAACCTTGAAAAATAAAATTTAGATTTAATTGAATGCTTCATCTATAAGTCACGGCACAAAAATCTATGAAAAAATAACTTATTTACGGCCATTTCTAATATAACGATTTAGTCACTCAAAAGTTTATTCATTTAAAAATACATCTATACTCAAAATATTTTCTAGTCAATTATAGAATTGCATTTTTATAACAATCGAGTTCCCTACATTCCTTAATTTATTCTGACATTAAATATATGTGCCGACGAACAAATGCCATCATTTTTATTTTTAAATTTTCCCGCTTAAAAGTTTAAACCCTTCCGTATCAAATGATTTCTAAATTGGCTGCTATAAGCTATAAGGTTACTTAAATAACATATTCAATATAGTTTATGTTAATGCAGTCTGGAAGACTGTCAAATACTATATACCATTAAGTACAGTTCTTAGGGTTAGATTTGATTTCACGTAGAATACGGACCTATACCAGATGGAAGAATCTCGATACATCGTGGCTATCAAATAAGAAAATTTGAATAAAAATATTGGCATATGATTGTTTGCGCACTTTCGTTTTGATTATCAATTTTAGGACTAACATATTTTGTGTGCAATTTGTTTTGGTACATCGAACATTTGTATTTATTTCATTAAACAATATGATATAAGACTTGGTTTTTTATTATACTAAATAAACTGTGTACGCTAACAAAACTACGAAATTATATAAAACATACATGCCGTTACTTTTTTTTATTATTACCCGTTTTTTGGGTTGTTTATATTAAAAATTAGAGTTTTGGTAAGGAAACAATAATCATGAATGCCTAACTTTTCTTTGATTTCTTGAAGTCTTTTTTTTTTCAAAGTTTTCTCGAATCGATTTCATAATTGTTATCTGTATTATGTTAATCGACATCAAAAAATTGCCTAAGTTAAGTCACGTTTAAAACAAGAGATAAGCTCATTATCTGGCGCGTATAAAAGTCGTTAAGATTTTGAAAATTCTTTAATTGCCTCAAAGTATTGGACATCATGATTTTAATCTGTGCCTTTTGTATAGTATTAATACAGGTAAGTAAATTAAATAAGAATTTATCTGACTGATTAACGAAATTCTTTTTATTGTGATGGTAATTTTTCAGACATCAACAGCCCATGTAATTTCATATGTTCCAAGAAATATTCAAGGCAATATTCAAGGACCAGCCCAAAATCTAAATAATTTTACTCCCATAGCAAATAATCGGGCGGCGATATCTCGACCGTTACCGTATGCTAATTACAATACTAATAATTTTCTCAATGCCAATATAGCAAACGCACAGGTTACTAACGCTGAATTAGAAAATGCAAGAATTGCAAACGCACAAATTGCAAACGCGGAAATTGCTAATGCAAAGTTTGCAAACGCTCAACTTGCGAACGCAGAACTAGCGAATGCTAAATTTGCTAACGGGCACATCGCGAACGCCGAGCAAGCAAATTTAAACTTTGGCATGGCAGAACTCGCCAGATTTCAACCGTCTTGGCCTAACAAAAACATTGCAAATGTTAACACGAATGTGGAAAATGCAAATGTAAATTTGCCAAATAACCTTGGAAACGCAGGTTTTTGGGCTAATAAATTAGTCAATTTAAATGGTAATATGGCAACATTTAGTCTTGGTGATGGACCACATGCATTCACTGTTACAAGTGGATCTCCTAACAGTCCACCTTTTGGAATTCAGTTAATGGCTGATGCTTTAGAAGTTGGTGGTACGGTTTCCGTGAATGGACAGTATCCAATATTTGGAACAGTCGCTGTAAATGGCAATTTACCCACAGATGGATCGGCAGCCGTTAATTATAGCTGTGGAAGACCAGTCAATGCTCAATAGATTAATAAACTTATTTATTGTAAATAATTATTATAGAGTCTGGCTAATGAAAGAAGATAACGAAAAAGGGCGGCAAATTAGAAAACAATTGTATGGTAATTGGTATCCCTAAAAGTTTGAACATATTTTGTGGATTAAACTTACTTGATATTATTTTTTACATTGATAGTAACTGTCTGAAACTCTAGGTTTAGGCTATTATACCTGTTAACTATTCGGAAAAAATATATAATAGAAATAAAAATGAGTAATTGCATGAATTGCTGTGTTACCATCCGAAAGTTTTCATATAATTCAATTATCTTCTTTCATTAGCCAGACTCTAACACTACGTATTAGATTAAATTATTGACTATTTAAATAATGTAGTTTTATTATTACATAATGAAATATACAATTTTCTATGATGAAACTGTGTACTGATCTATAATAATTTTACGCGCTTGAAGGCAAGACAATAGCTCGTAAATGATAGGTTGGAGGAGCTCGGTCAAACTTCATTCACACTAGTACTGTGGGAAAAGAACCGTCGCGTCGTGGATGTTGAGATTGCGTCAGTGCTAAATTACCTTTTTTGTTATATTGAGAAGACTTATGTTAAAAGTTCGTTCGTCATCTTTATATGAAATGATATTATTATGAAAAAATACAAGTACTTACCTATATAATTTTTGTGAATAAAATGAAGCGTAGCAAATAAGAATTATATTAGTTCGCATAACCGCCACGCCACGCCGGTTCTCTTTCCGCTCAACATCTAATGCTATAATTATATCTACTTACTTTACTACTGAATTTTGTATTTTACTAGTGGCACGCTTGCGATGAACTCATTACTTCACTACTAAGTTATACTTGTGGTTATAGATGTTTTTTCGGTAAAACCCTGATAAATGTCTGTTCTCTGTCTCACAGTGAAATAAATTTTAAATATTAAATGTCATTCTATTTACTATATTAAGCATGTTTTCCAGACAAATAGAACTTTAAACAAAACACGTTTATCTGCCTATCTACAAAAGTTTAGGTTATGCTTTGTTAAGTACTCTATATAGAGTAAATCTGACCCCACATGGCGTACAATGTTGGTACTCGACTAGATCATTCGGCGTTGCGTAGAAACGTTGGCGCTCTTTGTATCTTCTATCGCATATATCACGGGGAGTGTTCCGAAGGACTTTTCAGATTAATAGCTGCAGCTAAATTTCATCACCGGGCGTCAAGACAATGCAAAAGTCCAACCGTTTCACCTGAACATACACATTAGGGAGTTTTTTATTTTCTCTGATTTCTAGTTATTAATTTCCAAACCTTCTATACAAAGATGTGTCAGTAACTTGTACTATTGCGACATACTCGTATACTACTATATTAACTTAGTTAAGTTTATGACATGTTAATAATGCTACCAAAAATACCATTCCTTAGATTCAAAGGACGGAAATTATGAACATGGGTCGAAAGACTAAAGCTATAATTTGAATATGAAGGAAGAAGAAGTTTAGACCTAAACACAGACGGTAGATAAAAATAATATAATTAACATATAATATATATGTTATAATAAAAACTGCGGTTATCACTTTCATAATATGTTTGTTAGGTAATTATAATTATTCTGCGTCAGATTTCTACTTGAAAGGATTTTTTAAATTGTAAACACATTTAAAAAAATGTATTTTCGTAGAACGATCACCTTGATTAATATTTATGTCTGCCGTTAGGATTAGTGAAACAAATAGATCATAATCATATAATTTAATCGTGTATAAAATAATTAATACTAATAAACAGCTGCTCCATTACATCCGCAATTGCTTGCCAAAGTGACTGTGCCCCCAGCTGGGATGTTCCCTTCAAATGTCACAAAACCAATTACCGGCACATTACCCACTACCGCTGTAGATCCACCAACGGGCATTTCGCCCACAACGGCAACATCGCCGTAACCAATTGGTGACACTCCAGAGATTGGCAGTCCACCGATGGAAAGGTTATTTAAATTAGCATTTGCAGAATTAGCATTTATCGCATTAGCATTAGCAGCTATGGCGTTACCAGCTATGCCATTTCCAAGCGCCGAAAGACCGGAAGCAGCAATATCTTGTCCCAGCGCCATATTGTTTGCAAGTAGGGCGTTGTTTGTAAGACTGTTCATGCCTAACTGGTTAGGCATGCCAGGCCTAAGTGCTTGACTGGCAGCATTCTGGAAAAAGGATAGCGAGTTACAATTTCTATCATAATGTTTTAACTTATGGTATACTGTAAAGGAGAAGTGTTGGCCTACTGGCTTCAGCGTGCGACTCTCATCCCTGAGGTCGTAAGTTCGATCTCCGGCTGTGCACCAATGGACGTGAAGGAAAACATCGTGAGGAAACCGAGATGTCTTAGATCCAAAAAGTCGACAGCTTGTGTGAGGCACAGGTGGCCGATCACCTACTTGCCTTGATTAAAAATGATCATGAAACAGATTCCGAAATCTGAGCCCCGACCTAAAGAGGTTGTAGTGCCACTGATTCATACTGCTTGCATTGCTTGCCAGTAACTCCGAAGTCGAACGAAAGACATACCTTGTATTCTATTGGAAATAAACCAAGGAAGCGAAAATTATGAATTAATTTCTTTTAATGAAAAAATACAGCAAAGTGCGAAGTATTTCGTCAGTAAAACAGTAAAACATTGAAATTTGAGTCGATTTGAGTTAGAAATATTGAAAAAGGAGCAGGGTGTCAAAATTTAATTTTTGAAATATGATAAAGTTTTACAAAATAAAAATTCGCAGAATTAAAATCAATTGTCATTTTTACCTGAACAAAAGCAATAATACAGATAACCAATAATCGTAACATTGTAAAATTAAGAAAATACTACACGAATCGTTTACATACGCTCAAATATAAGCTATTTTTTATCTTAAAATCTGTAATGACGAAACGTTTTTCTTTATTTAGAAATAAGTTTGTAATAGATTATTTTATCAATTCAATAGCATTTGTTTAGGTATTTCGAATGAGGTATTTCAATATATAATTAAACTAAATTTAAAACAATTTCTTGTATTAAATTTGCTAATTACAAAACGTCTTACCATAATATTATATGTATGTATTGTTAGTCATAGTTATGCATGCATCTATTTAAGATTGAGAGACTAGATTTTATTTCGGTTTCACTCTTTAAATAGGATTAAATGAAACCAAAAAAGCAGATCCGAGTCAATATAATAATAAATCATCTAATAAATCACCACGCTTCTCGAGTGATAGCAACATGCTCATTCCCACTATCATAATTAACAGCTCCAGAGCCGTAAGTTGGCAGTGCTCCATCCACTGCCACGGTTCCCAAGAAGGGCAGTTCACCAACCACAGCCAGTCTTCCTTCTATAGCGTTTTCTGAGTAAACAGAAATACCGGTAACAGGAATTGGAGAGGAAGAATACACTTCCAAAACTCCACCACGGGAGGCAGCGAAATTATTAATGCCCATCCCGAAACGTGGGGCCAGCCGGGCTTCAGGAGCCCTCCAAGAAGCTGCTCCATGGGGAGCAGCGATTGGGGAGCGGAAGTGGGGTCCTGATGCACGTGAAATGCATCGGCCAGATATCATCTACAAAATGGAGTTGAATTAGATTAAAATTCATATTTAATTATTTTAATTATGCAGTATGACGTAGTTGCTATTATTAATGATATTTTTTAATAAAAGTTTTTACTGTATAAAAGGTGTTCACAACTTTAAAATTATTTATTTAGGATGCAATAAATGCTTGGTAGCAAGTATTCTATATACTGGTCGTGACTGTTAAACAACCAATAAACCTTCCCCTCCCTTTAATCCCCTTAATTTGATTTTGAGTTTTAAATGTTGTAATCGAAATCTTTGAGATTACCTGGACCAAAAGGACGGTAACGCAAACGAAGACTGCCTTAACTGCCATTGTCTCTTCTCGTTGATCAGGATGAGAATGTTTCGACACAAATATTTAGTGAATTTATATACAGCTAAAAGATTTGGACCTTTATCGTTGTGACGTGACTGCGTTGGTATTTTAGGTTAGTTATCTTTCGTGACCTTCATGCTTAAACATAAGCCCTGATTATTACTCATAGTGCCTTTAATCTATGTTCACGTGAATTATTTGATATGCCTTAATGTTAAATGAAAGCAACCTTTAAAGTATCTTATGCATGTCGGAGCAATGGCGCTGGAATCGGCTGCCATGTCTTTATAATTTAATAACATCAAATTAGTTCAAAACGGTTACATACTTTATTTTGTTTGCCAATATGAATAGATCTACAAATTAGAAGTCATTATTTTTTGATGATTATTCTTTGATGTTATTAAATTATAATGACGATTGCAACTGATATCAGCGCCATTGCTACGACATGTATAATTTATTATTATTACCGTTTGTAGGATAAATGTCCCAAATTGGTTTCGTTAAACGCGCTAGTGTACCCATGCAGTTCTAGTTTAGTTCGCGCGAGGCACTTGGTGTAAGATTCGAAGTCAAGACTCAGTACGACTTTCTTATGTCAAAAAGGTATTAGATTTTGACATATGGGTGTAATAGTACGCGCTGAGTGTCTCTTACTTCTTCTCTTCTATCTTTATTTAAATTCCATTAAAACCCTATTCCTACACGACTATAGCAATTCAATTTTGTCAAAGTCGTGTTTTGTTGGTCAAAGTATACAGTACCTATTAATCAGACAATGTTTTCTAGTGATATTGTTCAATTTAACCTAACCTTACTTAAGATTAAGCAGTGTACATTGTTGCAATAGTTCATATACTAAATAAGACGTTATGAATGAGAGGAAGACTTTTTATCCGAGTTTTGTAGGCTTCACGCTTCTATCTAATTCCACTATCACTTTACTTTTCTAGGCGAGATGTTTGATACAAAAATGCCAGTAAACTTCGGTCATGGTGTTAAAATTCACGCTTCATTAATAAATAATCGAGATCATCGGCTTGGTCTAACTGCTCTTAACGCTTCAGCAGATTGCTTTTGCTTTGCAGATTGGAACGGATGCAACGCTGATCAGGTTGCATCGGATCACTTACCTATTCGCTCCTGGTACTTTTACTTACTTTTACAGTGATTAGTGGACTTAAGCGTCCAAACTTCAATGCGGAGAACGGATCTTTAATTCACGGCGTTGCACGAGGGCAATTAACACAGTTTGCTCCTGCGATGAAGGCAACCGAAGAAAACGGAGTCGGTAGGACACCAGCAAGTCTCTAACCCAAAAATCGACGACATGTGTCTGACACAGAAGGCTGATCACCTACTTAATAAAATAAAAACGATGAAAGAAACGGATGCCATCTGAGGCCAACACTAAGATTTTGTAGGAGTTTTTGTAGGTTTATCTCTAAGTACGTTTCCTATAAAAATATTAGTAAAACAACAGGACTGTATCTATGTCTCTCTATCTATTCTGTTTCAGGAAATATGGGAATTCCATTAAAAGCCTCTTCTTGTAACAAAATACTCTAAGGTAAGTAAGTTAATCAAAATGTGCTAAAATAGAAGCATATTATAGCTAGATTAGAAGGTTTTTCTAAGTAACATTTTACTTATTTATAAAGTAGGCATAGGTTTATAAATAGAGGCGTAAGAAATTGTTATCAATCGGTTAGTATAAACAAATTTAATAAATCACGTATTAAATTTCTCAATTAAATTGTGACATCGAAGTATATAAAATGTGATAGTTTTTATGTATGTTCTCATTGTAGCAAATTCAAGAACAATGTCGACTTTTGCTTTCTTGGTCGTGTGCGTTCAAGCTTGCTTGATTCAGGTAAGCAAGATTTAAAAAAAACCCTTAAATTAATAAATATAAATAAAGTATAACATTCAAAATCTTAAATCGTACTATATTTTACACTTTACAAATCGCAATAGTACAATTAAAATACCTACTCTTCTTTCCTTATATTCATAGCTTGATATATGATATTACAACCAAATTATACAACCAACCAATTTGAAATCAATATATAAACGTTAAATGAATGAGTTCAATATATCTTTACATATATTTTTTCAGAATGTCTACAGTCAATGCATTGGCGCACCCGTGGGTCCCGCGGCATATCCAGGCTTGGCAAACCAAGGCCTTGCTTTAAGTCAGGCTGGTTTAGTAGGACCAGCTCTAGCTAACCCCGCTCTTGCAAATCCCGGTTTAGCCCCCTTCGCTAACATCGCTGGTGCCTATGGAGGTTCTGGTATCGGCGATGTAGCCGTAGCCGGAGAGATGCCAGTAGCTGGTACCACTATGGTAGCGGGACAGGTGCCCATACTCGGTGCTGTACGCTTCGCGGGTGACCTACCAGCTGGTGGTGTGGTCTCTATCGCTGGTAGCTGCGGATGTGGAGCCGCTGGTCCAATCATATACTAATTCAATACTAGTTCAAATTAAATTAATATGAATAGAATTTTTGTTTTTTTATTTTTTATTTATTCACACTTTGTTGCTTTATAATATAAAAATTTAACATAATTACATGTAAAGGAAAGGCAACTGGCGGCCTTATCGCTTTCGAGCGATCTCTTCTAGGCAACCACTGTGAGAAAAAAAAATTAAATTACATAAGATAGGCAAGAAGTGCAAAAATACATGTATATACATATAGTTGTTAAGAAAAAGAAAAAAACATGAAAAAAAAGATAAAAAGTGCATATGAATCATTATAATTTAATTTAAGATCAGTCTGACGTCAGTTAGAAGGTATTATTAAAGTTAGGGATACGGTGTGGACCTTTTTCGTTTTACCTCCCAAACAGGAATTTAAGCGCTGTCGCTATTCTACTACAAACGACACATCAATCTGTCAAAATAGTTGTCTTATCATAAATATTAGCGTTTGAATCATTTAAAACAAATATGGCTTGCATTATATAATTATAAGCTTGCAATATCTTTATAAGCTTTCAAAATGACTATTACGATTTAGGATGTAGCGAATCGTAGATACGCACTAAAAATATACATACTCTTTTGTGTAGTATTTTCTCTAGGATTTTGATGTATGTACATAAAGATAGGACACTAAGGAAAGAAGAAAACAGACGTCACTCAGACGGACTTTGAAGACAAGTGAATTTATATATAAGTTTTTCTTCCTTGAGCGTATGTGAATATAAATTAATTACTCTTGTTTGTGAAGCCAATTAACAAAGGTAAAAATGGGTTGTGATTTATTTCAAGATAGCACATCCCATAAGGATTTAAAAATAACACGTGTAAACAATGCACCTAATATAATTTGTCGTGTACGGAGACAGAAAAAAGTCGTCCCAAAAATCCATCGACGTTTCAGTTATTCCTTAACACTATCAAGGTTGTATTGTTTATCTTATTGTTTGTTGTAAATGTTATATGGGAGAAAATAAAAATTATTCTTATTATTATTCTTATATGTATGTGTAGGTGGAAAATTATAGTTCGATGAATGTAGGTAATATGAGCAGTGTTGGCCTAGTGGCATCAGCGTGCGACTCTAATTCTTGACGTAGTAGGTTTGATTCCCGGCTGTGCACCAATAGACTTTCTGTCTATGTGCGTATTTAACATTCGCTCGAACGGTAAAGGAAACATCGTGGGAAAACCGGCTTGCTTTAGACCCAAAAAGTCGACGGCGTGTGTCAAGCACAGGAGATTGATAATTTACTTGCCTATTATATTGACAAGTGATCATGAAACAGAAACAGATATCTGAGGCCCAGACCGAAAAACGTTGTAACGCCACTGGTTTGTTTTGAATGTAGATAGCGATTTGTAATAGAAGTAATTATTAAATATTATAACTGCCTTCTTTATTAAATATACATTGCCAATAGTAATTGTGTAATACATATTTAAGTGCCGACTGTTGATTTTGTCTATCTTGAGTTTTGATATGATTTTATATTAAAGAATCAATCCGCTATTCTATTATATTAGTGACGTTTCTGCGACTTTGTGATTGATATTTTTTATAGACAGTTTTTTTTCTGGGTCTTGAAATAGTATAGCTAACTGTCTATGGAAATGAGTTTAGCCGAAGTGGTAGTTTTTTTATGTAATAGGAGGCAAACGGGCAGGAGGCTCACCTGATAAAAAAAAATTAATGGAAGGTCATATCTTAAATTATATTTTCTTCAGAACAATTGACAACTTGATCAAATTGATTGATCACTTAATGATTGACCAAAAGATTTAGAGAAGAAAGCCAAAATCCTAGGAGCAGTGGCATAACAATAGGGTGGCAGTGCTGGCAAAATGCCACGAGCCCCCGATTCAACCCCCAGCCCCAGAGGTATTATGTTCTATGGATGAATGTGATGTCTCCAATACGCATTGGGCTAGCGTGGGGACTACAGACCATTCCCTCTCGCCTAAGAGAGGAGGCCTATGGCCATTAGTGGGACATAGACAACGTGTATTTGAGTACGCGGAAAATCTCGAACTTTATTAAAATTAAACTGAGTAGGGACGATTTTTACTGATAGGGAAAAAGAATTGCCACGGGCCCCAGATGGTATAGTTACGCCACTGCCTAGGAGAGCACCTCCACCGGAGGTAGCGGTAATTACAGCCTTATTAAATAAACAATTGTCACTGATTACTTTGAGGATCTAAGATGTGCCTGCGATGTGATTTTTTTTAACTTCTTGTACAATAGACAACTAATTTCATTTACTTAACAACTTTCCAGTCATCTCAATCTTTAAGTTCAATGTTAACAGCCGAATCCGAAATTCTTGAAGAACAATTGTATTTTAAGAGAACTTAATTTATTGTAGACGATTTTACTGAAAACCGACGCTCTGTATCTCTACACGATAATTAATATAGTATCATGAGCATGTTAATTTTGAAAACGAGTGAATATTTTTAATTGACACAGATTCTCGGCGAAAACAATACGCTTTATTGCTACTACATGACATCATCTCAAATAAAATTAATTGCAGCTGACTTCTAGAAAAATTGCCCTTCCATGTTCCTGCCTACAAAACTTGTAGTCGTGCTTTGTTTCATGTTCCCCACATCAACACTAACTATGCAAATAACTCAGTTTTGTATCGCGCAGCCCGGGCATACAACGACCAATATTTAAGCCTTGACTTGTTTAAGCTATCGCGGAATATGGTTAATTTGAGTATTAAGAATATCCAAAGCGCAAAATCACCTGCATCATGAGCATACTCCACATACACACCTTCACGTACATACCCTCACTTTTACACCATCATACATCACAGCCAAATTAGATATTACTTAGTACTAAATGTAATGTATTAAATATTTTTTTTGTTTTTTCCCTTTTGTAAATGTTAGAACCTTTTTGTAAATATAATGTATTCCATCTTTCGCTATATTTTTAGTGTAATGGTTTTTATATATATTTTTTTTTGTTAGCTGAAGGATTACTAAATAAATAAATAAATCCTATAGCGTAATAGTAATTTTGGAAGCCCTTAAATATTAGCAAGCTTATAATTATACGAGCAATGCTCGCCTAGTGGCTTCAGCGTGCGACTCTCATCCCTGAGGTCGACGGTTCGGTCCCCGGGCAATGGAGTATTTAGACCATAACGTTGACAACAAGTAAATAACTTATTATATTAAATTAAATATTTATTATTATATTAAATATTACTTACAAGCAAACACGAAAAATTCATTTCTCTATTTTATTCGTGTACTCATAATTGTGTCACTGTGTGTTATAATATTATAAATTCCGTGAATCTAGTATTACAGTAAATTACACTGTTTTCTATGAATTGTTTCCTAATTTTATTTGTTATAATATAAAATAGACCTAGAAAATCTAATAGTCTTAGTATACTTTTGAATACAGAAGATGTTCTTCAAAATCATTATTTTATGCGCTCAAGCGTGTTTGATGCAGGTAATAAATGTATATATATACACTTTGTGTAGAGTACGTAATATATGAGGATTCTTTTTATTAGTTATTTACAAATAAAATTTTAATTCAAACAGCAATTCGGCATTTTGCGATAGGTCTACCGAGTAGTAGTACTTAGGAATATATCATGATTTGTTAATACGGTTGTGACACATCTTAATAAAATATTTATTTTGAAAAAGCGGTCAATTACGAATTTGCTTATTTTAAGAAAACAATATTTATATTTTGTTTTGTTACAAATTTTATACACATATTTTGTTAAGTTAACACAATAAATAATTTTCTGTAACTATTATATTTCAGAGCATCACCGCACAATGTATCGGTAATGCGTTTGCTGAAAACATAGCTTGGAGTCCATCTTACCCCATGCCTTATGGGCCTGCGCCAGTGCCGTACACATCAGCCCCAGTACCTTTTACACCCACCCCAGTGCCGTACGCACCAGCCCCAGTACAATACGCACCTGCTCCTTCATACATGCCTAATAGCTATTATGTGTCAAGTCCGTATAACCCAGCAAGTCTAGCTGCATCAAACGCATGTGGTCTTGCCGTATCCAGTTCATCACCAGTAGCCCCAGTAGGTGTGACTATGATGTCAGATAATGCCTTCGAGGGTCCATTAGCAGTAGCTGGGCAAATGCCGTTCCTAGGTGCTATTGGGGTTGAAGGTAATCTTCCTACCTCTGGTGCTGGGGCTGTTTCATATAATAGTGGTAATGGCCAGGTTGCAGTAATGGCTGAAGATCTTACTGGTTATGGCTACCCAGGCTACTCTTATGGAGCCCGTGGGTATGCCTATGAAGGGTATTATTAAAAACCTGTTGATAATAAATGTTAATACAATGTTTCGTTAATTTTGTTATTACTTATTTGTTTTACCCCCCCACTGCGTATCCAGAGAACAATGAATACGTAATGTATTATCATCATTAAAGTTCAGCAATATTCATACATTCTTAAGCTAATTAATACTTAGTATACCATCTATATATGTAATCGTAGCGTTCAGTACAGCTAGAGTACAGAGTTCATTCGGAGTTCATTTCTACGATATCAGGGAAAAATTATTAAAAACATTTTAGTTTGAACAAAAGACGGTTCACATTTTGGTTTGAACAAAAGACAGTTCACATTTTGTAATTTTTTTCATTAAGATTCTAATCTACACAACATTAATATGGCATACAGAAGTTGATATAAAACGTATTTTGTTGATATAAAGTGTGGAGTTTTTGCCCATTCTTCTCCACACGAAACTACCTTTTGGAAGGGGCAACTAGAATCTTCTTTGTATTTTGTTTGACGTTCAAAAGTGCCATTTTAGGTGGTCTAATTGAAATAAATGATTTGACTTTGACTTTGACTAAAGCATTACGATGGAGACGGATTATTTCATATCTGAATTTACATGTCTTATTTCTTTGCAATTCGCAATTTACATGTTATATTTACTGCTAATGTAAAAGCTTTATATTCTACAAAATGTTACGTCTTTTTTATTTTTGAAATAGTATTAATTATTCCTTAAATTACCTACGTTAAAATAAAATAAATTTTAAATTTCTAAAGACGGTTACAAATAGAAAACGGGGAATAAACATCTTACTTTTATTACATTTGATAATTGCGTATGCTAGACTATCATCAAAATTCAAAGGTACATAAACACACAGATAATCTATTTCATAATGTCCGTAAATTTCGGTTATGTAATTGACTTGAAACCTCTCTTAATGTCTGGGCGAAGTGTGTTTGTAAAGAAATCTGATTTAATTCGCTTAAGCTCTTCAGTTCTTTATATTATCGTGGCGTACCAAATGTTTCTTTATAAAACTTAAATTACAACATAAGTATGTAATTAAGTATCTTTAAACTTACTTTTAAAAAAAAAAGTTTTTTAAAGCTCATAAATGGTAAATGGTAATGTCACAAAAGGTAGTACACTCGTACAGCAGTTAATTGTTCTAGACTATATATTTGATAATTTGATATGATATATCTTTTTCCCGTTTGTAAATTGTTACATTTTATTTTGGTCAGGTTAGTTGTATTGCTTTTTGTGATTTATAGGAAAACTGCTAATAGTGTGGCTTAACGAGTCCAGTTGAACATATCAATAAATAGACAATAACATATTTTTAATTTTTATATTACACTAAAAACAAAACACAATTGTACTATATTTTTCTAAATACACACCAAAATACTAATAAATGCTTGCTAGATTATTCACAATCGCATTTAAGTGGACAATCAAACAAATAAAATTTGACTAAATGTGGTTAGGCGCTGGGGCCTCACATAACTCACAGTAACTAACTGCCTTTTTTGGTTTAGAATAACTAGTTGCGATTTTAATAGTATGCTCCACATTGACCTCTGTATGGACCAGCAAATCCTTGAGCAACTGCTCCATAACTTCCTGCCATATCCTCAGCTAATATCGCAACCTGGCCATTACCAGAGCCGTAAGAGATAGCACCAGCTCCAGCAGTTGGGAGGGCTCCATCAACCTGGACAGCTCCCAAGAACGGTATTTGACCAGCAACAGCTAAAGGTCCTTCAATAGCGTTTTCTGAAGCCATGGAAACTCCAACTGGGGCGATGGGAGAAGAGCTGGACACGGAAAGACCACAGCCGTTAGATGCGGAAAGCATGGCTGGGCTGTATGATTCTGAGATCCATGGGGCAGCCATAGGTCCCCAAGCTTGTCCATAAGCTGGTTGAGCCCAAGCTGGGTTGTTGAGGCACTGTCCAGAGATTGCCTGTAAACATTTTTACAATGTATTATTACTATTATAAGTGTGTTTTTCTCGATGTTTTAATATTATTTATTAGTTATGTTTGATTAAAAAATATTGTCTACGATACTAATTGAAGATAAACGTTACATACACACAGCATTTTTTCTGTCAACAGAGTCCATGCCCTAGTAAGTTTATAATTAGTTATAAATTATTGTAATTTTACCTGAACAAGCATTAAAGCGAAGAAAGACAAAACAATTTTGGAATTCATATTGTTTTCAACCGAGTGCTGTTTTTGATGTTTTCAAAAGTAGGTCTTCGTTTTTATAGTGTATATTACCTAATTATTGTATAATAAGAAAGTAGAATTCTTAGAAATGTATGCAATGCACTATTGGTAAATAGGCCTAACAATACACTTGTAATAATATAAATTTTACATAATAATTTAAGCCTATCAACTTTATCGAGAATAATGAAACAACAACATTAATAGATAGCTATTATGGATATTAAAAACTTAAATTTTACACATTTATCCAACGTTGAACCGTCACTTAGGTAACCCAACCAATTAACCACAGAACATCTTAACCAAATATTTAGTTTTACCTGCTAACATACAACATTTTTTCTAAAGAGATTTTGCCGCCCTTCTTCTTCATATTTAATTTTATCTGTAATCTTCACGTCGCTTCTGTAATGCGTGTGATATGACAAATCATAATTGTATCGTCTTTTTAATTCATTAATTAAACTTAAGCATTATTAATCTATACCATATTTATATTAGGATTGATATTGTATTATCATTTTTATTTAAAAAATGTTGAAAATTATGGTATGAAAGAAATAATTTAAAATTTAAAATTATGACTAGTAAAAAATAGCTTCACTGTAACTTTCAACTTATTTATTGAGTCAATTACAATCCTTGTACGCAAAACTACTTGCATATAATATACTTCCTGAGTATTTATAGTTTATGGTCTTATTTAAAAACAATCTATGAATCAGAGAAGAAAATAAATTTTTTTCGTCAATTTCACACACACAATTAGAGTGTGAAACTCTCTTAAACGTCAAAATTAGTCACGTGGTTCCTTTTCTTTGTCCTTCATAAGACGTCACATTCTTTCAACGAAGACTCTATAACGCCAGAAAATGTTGATATATCATTAGATCATAGACATAAACCCCCACATAAACTACTAGAGTATGGACAATTCGGGTTTATGTGCTTGGTTGATTTTGATATTGCGGCTTGTTAGAAAACCGACTAAATGATCATCTCAGCACCTAAATATTGGTTTTAACAAACCTAAAATTTTAAGTTTCTAAAAGACTAGCGGGTAAGTATACATAGCAAGTAGGTATCCCATCCTTAAACCCATTTTGAGGTATAAAAAAATTGTGCTTTGTTCTAAAAATACTGAATGTTTCACCACAATCATTACGCACTTTAAAAAATTATATATGTCACGTAAAATAACGCAATACTATATACAATATAGGTCATTTAGTATAAAAGCGGAGTCGACTTCTGGTGACGATATTCTGAACAATTCAGACAATCAAACATGTCTCTATTCAGTGTATTCATCCTGTGCCTTCAAGCTTGCTTGATCCAGGTAAGATAGGATTAAAGAATTATAATTTGATCCTTTTAGGGTTTTCTTCCCATGATTTGGGCTGTGATTTGAGTACCTTTGAGGAGGATGTCTAATATTTATGTAAGAGACTTTTTCAAAATTTAAACTAGTGTGCTTGACTGATGTTTTCCTAAGACTCTAGGAATGAGCCTTTTTTGCTGTTTATCCAGCGATTAAGGAGGTTCAGAGGAACCTCAAAAATAACTTCAATCAATAAAATTAAAAGTCTCTCATCAATTCTATTACGTTTTACTGTAGAATATGTATTTTGCAGAACGCCTTTGCGTGGATCGCCGAACCAGCCCTCGCACCCTGTCTCGCTAACCAAGCATGGGGTCCAGCTGGCCCAGCGATGGGTTTCGCTCCCGCTCCAGGTCTCGCTAACCCAGCATGGGGTCTAGCTGGCCCAGCGATGGGTATCGCTCCCGGACCATTCGCCCCAGCCCCATTTGAAGCAGGTATTGCTCCATACGGCGGTGAAGGTATCGGTGACGTAGCTGTTGCTGGAGAGATGCCAGTGGCTGGTACCACTATGGTAGCAGGACAAGTGCCCATCCTCGGTGCTGTACGCTTTGCTGGTGACCTCCCAGCTGGTGGTGTGGTATCTATTGCTGGAAGCTCCGGATGTGGAAGATCTCCCTACATGTACTAGACTCCATCCAAGGACGCAATGTTTCAATAAAGAACAGTGACTTTTTGTTTGCCTTTTTACTGGTTTTTCCCTTCTTCCTTGAATTAAAATAACTATTCAGTGTAGGTACTTGACATGACATAGCTCGAAATTATTTTGGAATTAATTTTGGGTTTTATGAAAGGGCCTTCGTTTAATACTTGACGTAATTGAAATATCAACTACTTTCTACTTTGGAAATAATTGTTTGTTTGTGTAACTGTTTGAAATGGACCAAATTAATAAAAAACTACATTTAATTGAATTTCATGATTCGTGAATGAAAAAAATACCCACAAAAAATTATTTTAATAAATTTCTAACAAGAAATAAAACTCATGTGTTATTATATCATAATTTAATCAAGTTAATGGAAATATTCTAATAAATGCCTCGTCGTCCCAGACCTTGTATGCCAAAACCAGCATTTCGGGCACTTACAGCAGCAACATTACTGATTGATGGCTCGGGAATGCCATTCAAGTTCTCGCCAGTCATTCCTACATCGCCATTCCCAGCACCATAAGCCACCGCACCTTGACCCGTAGCTGGCAAGGGCCCTTCCAGTTCAACTACTCCCAAGAATGGCAAGTGTCCGGTGACTGCTAATGGTCCTTCAACCACCAAATTCTCGGACTGAACTGTCACTCCACTTGCAGCAATGGGCGATGAACTTGTTACTATTAAACCACCTCCGTTGAACGAACCAAGTTCCTGGTTGAAGCCTGCTATGTTAGCAAATGCTGGATCCATTGCCATGCCATTGGCAAAGTTTCCATATCCCATGTTCAACGCTGCCTTTTCCGCCGCTATGGAAGCGGGAAGACCAGGGTTGGGTATTTGATTTTGATAGGGTCTTCCAGGGAGACCTAGGCTGTGTTGATTACCCAAAAGTTGTGCATCCACTACCTGTTTGAGAAGTAATATTAACATTAATTAAAAATGGAATATTCTCACCCAAGATTCACGGACATGATCTCATATCTGTGATCTATCTCTGATCTATCCCTATCTCTATCTTATTTCAATGCAGCTATAATTATTTATTTATTTTTAATATATTTATTCACAAAAAAGTTACACCTTAATTCAAACCATGCCCCCCGCAAAACTGCTTACGCAGTTTGACTGCAGGTAACTCGCCTTAAATAAATATTATAACTTCTAAATCACTAAATTAGGTCACACTAATACAATTAATTTACTTATAGGTTACAGCATATTTAACAAATGGTTTTTTAATAAACCTCTAAATTTATCCAGTGAAGGCTCACGTCTTATGTCCTAAGGTAAACTATTGAGCAAGTATGGAACACGTATATTTTATCAAAGTATAAACAATTATATTACCTGCATTATAAGTGACGCGAAAATTAAATATAAGATTTGAAATATCATTTTGTGTACATTAATTTCGATAAATTGATTGAGAATCCGCCAGTATTACTTTTATATAAGATCATTTACGAAATGTTTTTATTCCGTTGATGTGACATCATTGTTATCTACATTTATGTAATCAAAAATCTATCCTATCAGATTATTATCAATATGTTAGTCATATAAAAAAGTTTACGGTAATATGACGAGTATTAATAAAATTTAGCAAATGTTTTAAGTCAAGTGAACTTCCTCTTAAAGAGAAACACAAGAAACACATCAGTCCTTTTTTACGTTCGGACAGCGAGGACTAACGTCGGTTGTAATGCTTCTTTAAACAGATCTCTATCTGCGTTAAACGACGCTTTGAGTACCTGCGAAGCAGATCCCTTTAATGACAGTCTCCATGTATTCAGCCGTAAGATGGTGCAGCCACTGTTGATGCGTCATCATTTTTATCAAGTTTATCTTTTATTTTTATATTATATTTTCTCATGTTTACATATGTATGTCGTGTGTTCTTTGTAAGTGTCTTCTTAGCGTGTCTTTTAAAATAAATAAATACAAAAAATATATATTATCAGAAACCGTATGCTTTAGTTCAATTTACTGTAAATTTTTTTTTGGGTCTATCTTAAAACCGCAGCTATAAATAATATTACATTAATAGATCAGTAGTTTAAATTAAAGTTGTTTATTGACTTATTATAGTTTTATTATTGTTAATATGAAATCGCCTAAGGTGTGATGACAAGGCGTATCATTCAATTCTTGGGTTATTTTCCGCATTATTGGTGTTAATTACCTCGCCAAAAATGCAAATGCTAATTTTGTAAATGAAAAATATCTTGTTATTTACTATAAATATGACTAGTTATAACTATATTATGTATCGTATAGTGTCTACGTCAAATTACGCTAACCGAGGTAGATATAAATGAATCATAAACATACTATAACTTCTGTTTTCCGGTTCAAAAGCGGGAAATGTTATGGTAAATTAAAAATTCAAATATCTTAAAACATTTATTCTATTCAGTAGTACGGAGCATAGGCGGCTCTGGGTCTTCCATAGCCAGCTATATCTTCGGCTAGAATAGCGACATTTCCATTTCCACCGCCATACGCAACACCACCAGCGCCAGCTGTTGGCAAACTACCTTCGACAGCAACGGCCGCCAAGAAGGGAATTTGTCCTCCAACTGCTAGAGGTCCTTCGATGGCATTCTCTGAGATCATGGTGACACCACTGGGGGCGATGGGAGAAGAACTACTGACGAAAAAACTACCACAGTTAGATGCTGCTAATGAAGCTGGGCTGTAGCCAGAGGCGGGATAAGCGTAGGCCTCGTAGGGCAGTTCCATACAGGGCTCGTAAACGTAGGCGGTGATGCACTGAAAAAAAATTTATTTTATCTACAATATAAAAATGAATCGCAAAATGTGTTGGTAAGCGCATAACTCAACAACGCCTGAACCAATTTGGCCAATTCTTTTTTTTATAATATTCCTTGAAGTACGAGGATGGTTCTTACGGAGAGAAAAATTAAAAAAAATCTTTTTTTTTTACGACTAGACTGGTGTCCCGAATAGCAGAATAAGTATTTAAACAAAATAAAGAATCGACTGTTAGGCGGCACGATGTTCGCCAGGCCAGCTAGTTTTAAATTAAAATACCATTCATAAGTGTTTTCGTATCAATTGTTAATTGTACTTGGATTAATTCCAATCAAAATTTAGTTCTAATTTACTAATAGCCTAGTTAGCACTAGGTCTCGGGTTCAAGTAATCGGAAAATACCTGGATAAGTAAAGCCTGCGCGCAGAAAACTAATACTGATTTAGCCAGCATTTTTTTTTAAATTGTTGTTTTCTTTGAACGTTATGTGAAAGTGGATGAATATTATGCATCATTTCTATTTATACGAATAATATGAGTAAATTACTTTCTTCATGGTTGCGTTATATAATTGTTTTCTGTGTTAATGTGTCATTATTAGTACATTATTTCGAAAATGTCTTTGTTAGAAAATGAAACCTTTAATGCTGTTTAACTTGCTAAATATAAAGTAAATATGCCTTAAGTAATAAAATTAGTCCCTGTCATATTATAATATCTATCGGCAAAAATGTATTTATTTATTTACAACTTGTCCCTCTCTAATTTTTTCTAAAGAAAGAGAGTTCTAGAGGTTCCAATCCACATTGGACCCGCTGCCTCCTCCCATTTTAACTCTCTGTCTCTTTCGTTTCCCACTTTGTGGGTGCCGTTACAATTCTGTTCCATTTTTGCTTCTTTTCTATCATCATTTTACTATTAGTTTAATCAGGAAAGGTAGAAGAGAAGTACTATATTTTAAGATAGAGCTACAACAAGATTTCTATACAATTTAAATAAAAAAATCATTTAACATTTAGTGTTCACTGTTTGGCAGTAACGCGCGCGAACTATAAATCCCGTATCCAAATCCAACACGTCTATGACAAACGGGATACTTAAGATCAGTTGCCCTAGATGTTTCAGAATGAGACAACCATCCCTGAGGTACGATCAATCCCCGGCTGTGCATCTACGGACTTTGTATGTGCGCACTTTACACTCGCCCGTGCGGTGACATAAAACATCGTGAGGAAACCGGCGTCTGTCAGGCAAAGATGGCTGATCTACTTGCCTAATAAAACACACGATCACGAAGCAGTCTGAGGTCCAGACCTAAAGTTATAACTAACGATACCTTGCATCGGCTCCAAGTGTCGTCTTTTTTTGCCGTTTTCTGGGTATTAACGGACCCCAGAAGGTCTCTAAAGAGCAACTTTGGGAGTGCTGCGGAGAAATCCCGACTTGTAAGCAGATCAAGCGACGCAAGTGGAAATGGATAGGCCATACAGAGATTACAATTATATTCCCAAGCAGGCGCTTGCTTGGAACCGCAAGGAAAGCCGAAATGAGGCCTACCCAAAAAAAACCTGGCGTCGTACAGTTGCAGATGAGGAAAAGAGAGCCGGAAAGACTTGGAACCTGTTGAAATAAGAGGCTAAATACCGAACGCGCCCTCTGCCCTATCTAGGGGTTAGAGGACATTCAGTCAAGACCTAAAAAAAAGGTCCGCTTTAGTCACTCTTATGCCCGCCTTCTACTGCGAGCGGAACGGACCCATTACGGACTACGAGTATAGCGCGTAACGATGATTTTCATACATTTTTATTTTCATTTCCGTGGGAAACTCGGTCAACTCGCTAACCTCATATGTGACTCTTTCAACTCGCTTTCTCCGCTGCGCTCGTCTCCGCTTAGGTGGAAGCACATGTATGAAAATCATCGTTACGAGTATAGCGGAGTCCGTAATCGGTCCGTTCCGCTCGCGGTGGAAACCCGGCTGAAGGCGGGCATTAAGTCTTGACTTTAAATGTTTCCGATAATTTACTACACTTATATCGGACGCATAGATTACGCATTGTGCTAATATTACAGATAGGATGTCCTGTTTGCCTGGTACAAAACGCCATAGATACCTTTCATCATTTATAATAGGTTCTGTTTACTCAAGGATATACCTAAGTAGAACTAAAATATCAAAACCGAGTTTTCACTAAATAAAAACCGCTTTAGCAAAAATAGAAAAAGTTATTAACGAAATCTTCCAACCATATCAGGATCTCTATTTAAGAGAACTCGTGGTCCGCTATAGTGGCTTTGGTTCAGGTTTTATACATCTGTTTCAATTTCAATTAGTGCATAGTCTTCTAAAACCGCCCGACCTCCGGGAATGGCTATATGAACTATACATAAACTATATGGCTATTATTATGGGTCTAATACTATGTTATATACAATATAAATAACGTTATTCAATCACACTACACGCTGGAAGAAATTATTTATTTCTATTTAGTAAAAAAATGGAAATACTGGATACTTCATTGTAACTACAATAAGTAAATATGAATATTTTTAGTTTAGATCGTATGTGGAACTCGGAACCTAGTTAATACTAACAAAAATTTACGTGCAATAAGAAAAACGACAAGTGTTTATGATACAATTTTAAGTATTTAGTAGATACATATATTATAATAAAGCTATTTCGAAAACGGCAGGTACACGTTCTACTGATTAATTTCTGGGAAAGTACCCAAAAATACGCAAATTCTCATTTATTTTTAACAAAAAGAATAGATCGCTCACACAAAATGTTATTTAAATACTGTTTCTTAGTTTTTTAAATCATATTCATATTAAGCAATAGCCCTACAACCTTTTAGGTCTGTGCCTCAGATTTCTGTATCTGTTCCGTGATCATTTTGAATAGGCAAGTAGGTAATTAACCTTCTGTGCCTGACACATACCGTCGACTTTTTGGGTCTAAGGCAAGCCGGTTTCTTAGTTGATTTCCTTCTTTTTCATCATATTTATCGTGGAATAATAGCTCACCTACTGCCCGATTCTCATAGAAATAGATGTCTTCATTAATATCATATGCATGATGTTATTAACCCATTAATAAAGTAGATATAAAAATTTACTCATTTAAAGTTTTCCGAAATGTTTATCATTTTTCTCAGAGTTCCACTGAAACCCATTTATTTACACATGTGCTATCTACGAATTACAAAGTTGATTTCGAAATACAAGAAGTCGGGCTCAGTATATAAGTTAGGATTTTGAAGAATTTGACATTATTTATTTTGAAAATAAATAAACATGTCTACCTTCGCTCTTCTCGTGGTCTGCGTCCAAGCTTGCTTGTTCCAGGTAAGAAATTTTAAATAATATATTTATTGTAAATAATTGTACTTTGTTAAAATCACGTCATATACGCAGGAGAAGAACATATTTATTGTAAAAAGCGAAAACATCTTTTAAAATATACATTGAAGTCAGATTTGTTATGCCAAACCAATCTGTATTGTGAATTCCTTATTAAACCTACAATAAAAATGAAGAACAGTAATGCTTTAAGCAATATTTAGTGACTTGACCGAAGTTTCGAAGTTTAATTGCAAAATGATGCAGTTTGAACCATTTTATTTTAAATTGTTTTTAACTCTCTATTCTAGAATGTATTCTGCTGGATCGCTGAACCGGCTTTGGCTGCTGGTCCTCTTGGCTGTGCCTCCGGCTTAGCAGGAATCCCAGCGCCTTTCGGCCGTGCACCTTTCGCTCCCGCTTTGGCCCCTGCCGCCTTGGCCCCAGCTGTTTTGGCTCCTGCTGCTTTTGCCCCTGCTCCATTCGCCCCTGCTCCATTTGCACCAGCTCTATCTCCAGCTGTGTATGAAGCCGGTATTGGCGCGTACGGTGGCGAAGGCATTGGTGACGTAGCTGTTGCTGGAGAGATGCCAGTTGCTGGTACCACAATGGTAGCTGGACAGGTGCCCATACTTGGTGCTGTGCGTTTCGCGGGTGATCTTCCAGCTGGTGGTGTTGTCACCATTGTCGGAAACTCAGGTGCTGGAAGATACGCCTGCTAAAAAGCTATGTTTTCTAAAGCAAGATTGAGGAGAGGATAATCACAGAATAAATTTTTGTTTTTTGGCATTATTCATACATTTTATTTGCAAATGTACCTACTACCTCTAAAGATTCATCATTTCTAACATTCCTGGTTTTATTATTCGTTATAAAGGCGATGCGACCTTCAATTAGAAAACTTATATTGTGCAATAACTAGATTTGATTCTAGTTTTCAATACTAAACCAATCAGTGTAGGTTAAAAATAGTAAACTATGATATAATTTATTTATTAACTACACTTCATTATATTACAAATAAAAACTAGTCACATAAATATTGGAGTTGCGGCCTTCTGAAATACTAAGGGTAAAGTGCAAAAAGTGCATAACTAAACATTATATCTGCAATTAACTAATTAAAATCAATAACTAACCCTAAAATATAATAAATAAAATATATTATTAAAAGGAGTCCCTTTAGGCATGGTTCCGAAGATACTGGCAGCGTTCCCCCTTTGAATAGCTAGACTAAATCTTTGTCCGAGGTAGCTGCCAGCTCTTCGGTCTCCTGTGATGTCGACTAACCTTTTTGATATTTCCTTAAAAAGCCTTATAGCGCTAGGACCCCACGGGTCTCGACCCCGAATGGGACAAACTAAATAAGTACTATGTTGTTTCTATATTAACTTGTGAATATTTCCAAATAAATATTGATAAATAATTTAATAGATAAATAAAATGGCGATCACCAGTTTTCTGTCCACCAAAAGCCTTGTACATAAGAATTCGAGATCAAAATCTATATCTGTACTTAATATTATATAGTACAAAGACAGATTCTATTTTATCCTCCAATCCTTGGATTCTGAGATAGTCAAAATATCCAGCCCAATTTAATTTCGATTCTGCAGAGACTACATATTTTGGAATGAATTATTTTATACCAAAAACCGTTTATACCTCTCAGCCACACTCTCAAATAGTACTTTCATCCCATCTGCCGTCTGTCGGGCTAATTTGTGAATCTAAACCATCCAGGGCGCCATCCTAACGCATACAAAAAAATTCAATCAAACCGGTCCAGCCGTTTAAGAGGAGTTAAGTGACATACACACGTACAGTGTTACACGAATTATAAATATAAAGATATTACAAATTTAAACTTAAGATTTAAATAAGCGTTAATTTTCCGGGTTCCAAGATTGTAAAGTTTTATCCATTTACTACGAGAAATATTCACGAGTCCATGTTATTAAAACATTCGAATTTATACAATTTTTTTTAGGATGTAAATAGATCGGTACTTTTAGGCTTCTCGTCAGTTATCAAGATAAAATATGTATTAAATAATCTTTTGTCACCGCTACTGTCAAATAACATTTTAACAACTTTTGTTAAGCTTATAATTCCATTACATATATTTATATTTTTCACTTCTATTCGATTGGCATTATTTATATTCCTCTATTATAAATCATGTCATTCAAATTACGGAGCATTACCACGAAGTGCTTATGCAACAAAACTATATAGATTTTATTATTAAATTGCAAATTTCTCACGTACGAATGCACAGTTAATTGTAAATTAATTGTTCAGGGTCATGACTCATATTTTTGAACGTATTTCCTATTTAAATGTAGGTCAAAATCAAAACAGAAAGTACTTGCGCAAATAATTTAATTCAGTTCATGTGATGGTTATCATTTGTTGGTTTTCCAAATTCGAAATTTGACAGATTATACATTTAGCATCCGTAGCGTCCGTAACCACGAGCGGCATCCTCTCTGGTAATAGCTATATTTCCGTTTCCGGCCCCAAAGTTGACGGCTCCAGATCCCATAGTGGGCAGAGCTCCTTCTAGGGCCACGGTTCCCAAGAAAGGTAGTTCACCAGCCACTGCCAATGGTCCTTCAATTCTGTTTTCGGACAGCACTGAGACACCATTTGGTGGAAGAGGAGATGAACTTGCTACCGGCAGAGGTCCACCGTGGGAAGCTGAAGCAGATGCTACGGCGTTTAATGGGGCGTATGGGGAGTTCAGCATGCCTGGTCCGTAGGCGGCATTAAGGAGTCGGAAGGGTGATGCTAACTCAGCAACCGGTCCGCAAGGTGCAGCAAGAGCGTTTGCTGGTCCGAATGGAGCATATAAGCATGATATGCTCTAAAACATCATGAAAATGTAATTTAATGAAAGATATATTTTTCATACAACTCTTTATAAGAACTGTAACGACCATAAATCAAGTGATCGCCTTTATATAACCGTATTGTACTCCAAGTAAAATCATACTGAATTTTTAGAAAATATTTAAATATCTACAGACTACATTGAAAATTATTAAATGATCGTTTTTCTTACCTGGACCAAGAGAACTTGAGCGCAGAGTACCAAAACTGCTTTAGCGGCCATTTTGGATTTTTGAGATGTCCAAATGTATACAAGAATATTTGATTGGTCCATTTTTATACCAAATTTTATCACCTGTTGACCAACATAAATTCCAAATAATTTTGATTAATTGGTTGTGTAATCATTTAAAACGTTTTATTGTTTTACTTATAAGAATTATTTATTAATCTCTCATTTCGAAATTAACTGCGGCCTATATTATTGTTCTTTTGTTATGGTTCTGTAGGGATTTTTAATAATTTTCCATCAAAAGAATTAGTGTAAGATGAATCTGACAGTAGTGTCTAACTGTGTTACGAATTCGTTTTGCAATTAGCAATTTAAATTTTACGATAGATAAAAAATATTACACATTCTAAAATCTAAATGCTTGACAACAGTAATAGAATATAAAACTTAGAGTTTTCTAATCTATATAAATAAAAGGATTTTTTGAAGAGAAAAATTTTCAAATAAAAATAATAGATATTATTATTTTGAGAATTTAGTCCTTGGGTTTTTATTTAGGAAAAGCGAACTCTCTAAAAGTCTCTAGAGGGCAGCATAGTATAATGTTCCATATGTTGGTTTAGCTACTGAAAAGGTAGGCTAAGTTAAAAACATTAAGGCGAAACGAAGTTCGCAGGGGCAGCTAATTATTTGTATTTTAATAATATGTCATATACTTAACATCAAGTATAACAAAGGATCTCTAAAACATAGTGTATATTAAAATTGTATAAAAGGGTTGTAACAGAATGAACACATCATTACACACACTACTTACAAACATGTCTTCCTTCACTTTCTTATTCCTCTGTATTCAAGCTTGCTTAATTCAGGTAAGGTGTAAAGTAAAAGAATAGGTCCTAACGAATATCGAAAAAGACTTTAGACTAGTAAAAAATGAATTTTGCAAATGCAAAATATAATGTCGTTGATATAATAAATAAGAATATTAAGATAATATAAAAATGAATTGGTTTATCCAGTTCACATAAATGAAAAAGTTTCATTAAATATTTTCTCATTAAAGAGATAGTGAAACAAATTTTCAACGATCAAAAAGAACTCCACGTTTTTAATAAAGATTTAGCATAACATTTTATAACATGCTTTATTTCAGAATGGTCTAACCACACTCATTGGACCTGCGGTATACGGAAATGGCTTTGGGCTCGGGAACTCCGTAGGGGCCGGTTTGACAGCAGCATCCGCTGAATTGGCTGGATGGTATGGTTGCGATTCACCTGCATCCTACAATGGCCCAAGAGCTTTAGAAAGAGAGATGGCTGAATACGCGTATGGAGCCAGAGCGATGGAAAGAGACATGGCTGCAGCGTACGGAGCAAGAGCAGTTGAAAGAGAAATGGCCGCTGAATATGGCATGGCTCGTAATGCAGCTATGTGGAATGCCCCAGCTTTAGTCCCAGCTCCAATGGCGTATGAATCGGGTATCGGCGCGTACGGCGGCGAAGGCATTGGTGACGTAGCTGTAGCCGGAGAGATGCCAGTAGCTGGTACCACTATGGTAGCGGGACAGGTGCCCATACTCGGTGCTGTACGCTTCGCAGGTGACCTACCAGCGGGTGGCGTCGTCACCATTGCTGGAAGTTCCGGATGTAGTTACCGATACATTTAAAACATTTGATGACTGACTTGTATAAAATAAATCTTTGACTGATTTGTAAGTTTTGTTTAAATGAAAAAAATGTGTATTATTATTACTTAATTTTATTTTTTCACATATAAAACTCTTTGGTACATATTATTTCCTATCACTACAACTTAAATACTAAAGTTTTCCTCCAGTCTTCTTAAGTGATCAACGTTTGAATCTTGGTTATTATGATTTAGAATTCCATTTTTATAGATATCCATACTCCTCTGTGCTAAGTTTGAGTAGACGCTAGGTATTGGGTATAGGCGATTTTGCGCGGGAGCTTTGACAGCTGACAGCCGTTCCAAATTTGAAAATCGTTCATTTGGACCGAGGAATTCTGGTTTCGGAGCATTCCGATAGAGGTTTCTATCAATCACGTGTCCATGTGCATTTATATTAGCAATATTTAATGATTTCCATTGTGGAAGTCTGTTAGGATAATTAAAGATCCACAATCTGTCTCCCACAAACATTGGCCGCGGTGTTACAATACCTAAGCTACTGTAATATTGCTGTGCAAATATTTCAACTTCGTTAGTGTATTTTCTTTTCCATTTAGTTCGACGATTTTGGAACCAAATTTTGATCTGAAATTAAAGAAATATCGTTTGATTCTTACACATCTTCCTTAGCCTTCTATCTGGAGCAGCGTTATGCATTATACTACAATGATTATTTTTCAATGAACATTGGGTTGATTTCTCATGACAATGCGAGGCCAATACTTATTTATACTATACAATTTACGGTTTGTACTAAAATAAATTGCTAAAATCAGTATAAAATGTTTTATAGATATTTATGTGAATCAAAATTTACCTGTGTCTCTGTAAGTCTTAGCTGCCTAGCCAAACGCCCCCTAGCAGCGACAGATAGGTATCTGTTCTTTTCAAATTCGGCCTCTAAACTTTTGATTTGTTGAGCACTGAAAGCTGTTCTAGCACGTTTTCCTCTGGTACTGCATGATCCTTAATCAAACAAAAGATTGAATTGTAAATAACAACGTCTTTACAACACTTTGTAAGATGATAAAAATAAATACATATTGATTGCTTTTTGCTTAAAAGAAAAAATTATAATAATTGTTTATGTAATTAAGTCATTAACTGGTATGGAACCTTTTACAATTGTAACCTAAGCGGACGCCAGACATCGTCACCTGACAGCCATCCTCAATAAACACTCTCATCTCAAAATAATTAGTGGCAATTTATCAACATGTCACTCGACGCCATCTTGAATCGTTTCCCGCGCTAATGAGCGCGCCAAAATAAACGTCATATTGTTCTAGGTTATCCGTGGTTAGCTGATTTGATTTTTATTTTGTAAAATTAATATAAGGATAAAAATAGTGTCTATATTCATATTTAGTTAAGATAAATATGGTATTCGGAATATTTTTTTAATAGTGCCTAAAATATTAACGTGATCAAATATTTACTCAAAATATGTCGTTAGAAAATAAATAGTAAGAAAGGATAATGTTATATGTATATTATTCACTTTTAAGTGTCGTATGTATAAAAATTTAGTATTGTAGGTATGATCAACAAAAAATGGCAACAATTACGGCTCATTAAATGAAGAAAGTAGGATAAACATAGAATTAAAATATTAAATGCATTCCTCTGACATTCATGGACATAAAACACAAGCCACAATACATCACATCTGTTGTAATATTGTAGCGCGTAAATTAATTAGCGGGATAAAATTAACTTGCCATCCGTTTGAGAAAGATAAACATGGCTGATACATGTTTTGTAAACGCTGCGACATTGGTATAACAATTAATGTCGATACATCGTCACCTATCATCGAGGAAAGACTATTTCGCGCCAAAATAGCAACATTAAATAGCTTCCACAGATGCAAACATAACTTCACTTTATATGAATAGAGTTAGGGCCTAGTATCGTTTGTAGCGTTTTTGTTTAAAAATAAAAAATAAAGTTGTCACCGATATTATGACAGACGAGATGGCGTTCAGAAACCCCTCATCCGCTTTTTTAATATATTTACAGCTTTTTAATGAGCTCCGACTACTTACTAAATTTTAAATCTGAGACAGTGTCGTTTCATCTTTATTTTTTAACAGTGAGTAATTACAGGGGAGAGAGATTTAGCTAACAAGAGTCGGGAGGCGAAGAGATTTATCTTTTCGTAATAAATTTAGAAAATGAGACATCAGTTCTACATTTGTGTGCGTGTGATGTTGTTTCGTATTTATTGGAACCAATTGAATCAGCTAATTTGAGACGCGCGCGCAGTTAAATTGCTGATAATTTATCGTAATAGACCATAAATAAATTAGCGCGCGTTATTTTTTGTAGACGTCAATTTGCAGGCAATTTTAAAAAAATATTGAGGTCTTTATTAGTTTCATAATGGTTGGTGAGAAGAATTTATAGACTGTAAATATTTAAAATGTTTGCGGTTGGAAAATGTTATGGCATTCGTCGCATAGAAAGTGTCATGAAAACACATACATTTGAATATTATATTGCAATATACATTATATATTAATGCTTTGAGAGTCTTACTTTAAACAAAAAAACTTACACTTTCATATAGTCTGTGGAGGCGTGGAAAATTAGAGGCATTATCAATAAATAAATTTTAGGTCACATGTAAAAAAATTCTGTCGCTTTGTTGCGTGAAAATTTCACAGCGTAAAAATCAATGAGGCTGAAAGGTGCAAAGGTGTCACATTTTTCTGTTTTTTAACGTCGTATTACACATAAATTAGGACGTTTTGGATTTCAATATTTCGTTGCAGAGTAGTGTTACTTAGACAATTTTTTTTTAGTTTTAGGGGTAAAAAACCTTTGTGATTGTAATTTAGTGATGATATCATATAATCATTTTTATGTCTAGTGTACCATCTTTACATAATCATTTCTAGCTCTTTAGGGTAGAAACAAAGTATAATGTTAGTCTCGGCATTTAATTAATTAAAATTAAATTTTTATATTTTGTGTTGGGCAAACTACGTGCTTGTACTTTCAATAGAAGAAACCCTCACCGACTTGCGTACCCCGTGACACTGGCCAACTTAATTTGTGGGCCAATACATTAAGCATAAACTCCTTCAATCGTTTTTTTTAGTTTCTTTTGAAGTCCTAGTAGGTAATTCGAATTTTTCACTGCTCAACTGTGTTTCGTAACGAAAATTCAATAATTTATGCAAATTAATCATTAACGCTGCAGTTTGAGCAGTATTGGCCTACTTGCTTCAGCGTGCGACTCTCCCTAAGGCTGATACCCGGCTGCACACCAATGGGCTTTCTTTCTATGTGCGCATTTAACATTCGCTCGAACGGTGAAGGAAAACATCGTGAGGAAACCGACATGTCTTCGACGTAAAAAGTCGACGGCGTGTGTCAGGCACTGGAGGCTGATCACCTACTTGCCTATTAGATTGTCCACTGATTTTTTTGAATCATAAACGGTAATAATTTCAGGAAGTCATGGAAGAAATAATTGACTCCATTGACAAAATTACCTAACCCAGCGTTATGGAGGTCAGCAATTTGTAGTTTCGGTTTAAGATTGCATTCGTAAAAAACAGTTAGAAAGGCGATACGGAATGCGAGAGACGGTCATTTAGGGCTGATTTGAGTCAGTTGATTGAAAATAACTAAATTTTTCAAGTGAAAACTAAGAATATAAAAAATAACAATGCAGGTACCAAGTTTAAACTAGAAAATAAATCAACCTACAACCTTTTCAGGTCTGGGCCTCAGATGTCTATATCTGTTTCATGATCACTTGTCAATATATTAGGCAAGTCAATCTATCAGCCTCCTGTGCCGACACGCCGTCGACTTTTTGGGTCTAAGGCAAGCTTGGATTCCTCACGATGTTTTACGTCACCGTACGAGCGAATGTTTAATGAGCACATAGGAATAAAGCCCATTAGTGCACAGCCGGGGGCCTACGACCTCAGTGATGAGAGTCACGCTGAAGCTAGGTATTAGGCTATCTGCTCTTACTAGTTGGTGAGGTACCAAAACTGTAAATTACATAATATGTAAAGAATCACCCGTAACTTATTGGTGAAACTCATAATATATAAAATATCATCAGTTCAATTCTTAACAAAACAATAGTTATTTCGGGTCACAGAAGCCTGATAACAGAATGCAAAGTTATAAGCGAGATGGAGTTACTGGTCTTTAAAATAGAGAATAAAATACATATTTAACATTCAATTATCATAGTTGTACAATTTCGTCGACTTTATTTAATAATTTTATTATAAAACAAACGGAAACCTCTTTGAAGAAATAATCGAGATCATTATTTATGATTTGACAAGAAAAAAACTCTTTAATGGTGCAATTTAAAATGAATTTACTAGATATATTTACATGAGATGTAGGGGCCCCAATGCAAATGGGGATTACTCGAGCGTCGTAGAGACATATTGATACAAAAAAAAAAAATGTTATATGTATAAATTCCTTCATCGTGGGGAAGCGGCTATAGTTTATCAAAAATTGTATGGACATCCAGCAGATATTGATAGCATCTATGCCCTACGTATTTTTAATAATTACTATGTTAATCTGATCGTTTGGACCAACTGAAAAATTATCGAGCAGGAGGTAAGGGGAGGGCCCCTCTCTTCCTTCGTTTCATGGGCCCCACAGCCATTTTCTTAATTTGCAAAAAAATCGCAATTTTGAAAACTCAAGCGCGTCAGATTAAGATATATGTGGTATCACCTTTATGTTCTAAACGTACTGTCTCATAATCTGACGATTTCTAGAGGGATCGCCCTGATCTGACAAAAATAGAAAAAGGTTCACCTAAAGGGCCATCCCTGCAACTAATCTGGCGTAAAAATGAGCTGAGTAAGACTTGGGCATTGAGAGCCGAAAGTGCTAAGAGAACACTATTTTGGATTGCAAACCGATAACTTTTGAATGGATCAACCAATTTTCCCCCGGGGTGGTTGGCTGCATTCGACAGTT